ACTTACGAACGTGATGGGCACGAGGGTAGACCGCGGGCTGGCTAGACTGGACGACCTCGGAAACCCGAGTCCTGGAACAGGGAACAAGGGAAGGAGGGGAAACTTGGTTGATCTGGACACAACACATGATGCTGTGTCTGAGCCACCACCAGACAACATGATGCACCCCCGGGCCTGATAAACTAAGCATCAATGACTCAAGGACCCCTCCGGAAGGCCACCATCTCGTTCTTCACAAAAAAAGAAGAAGACTGTTGCAAACGAACAAGCCGACCACCAAAACCAAAAAAGCAGAAACCCCTGAGTCAGAGAGCATGAAGCTCACTAACCCGACCCTCTGAGGCCAATCCAAACAAAAACAGAGCTTTGGAAAAACAATCTAGAACCGAAGGGGCCACCACAAACCAATGAGGAGAGAGAAAAAAAGCACCCGGTCAAAGGACCAGGACAGCCCGGGCAACGCATGAGCAGGTCGGAGGTGAAATAAAGCATGCAAAACGGAGCTGAAGTGACATCCACCCTAAACCCAAGCTGGAGCGGCTCCGCCAGCGGTTCACAATAAGAAGCATCAGTATTGGGCATCAAATGACGGTCCTGCAAAAACCAAGACAAAACGACCCAATCCTAAATAGAAGACGGAGAGAGAAAATGGCAAAAAGAACGCAAGGAAACTTCATACTGTCGCCGAGACGAACTTCGCAGGTGGGATACCACCAACAAACCACCTGATCACCATACAAGTGGTGATACACCCGCATCAAATAGACCAGATGCAAAGAGCCGAGTAATAGACCGAACCAGCCATGTACCAGACTCGTCTGATCTGCTAAAAGGGGCAGAGCCACGGAAAATGGCCCAGGTTCTGACAAAGCAAGCAGTGCTTGAAACCAAGGATGGGCCGGCCACCAAGGGACCACTAGGACGACTTTCCCACGGTAAGACTCCTTAAGAGCCAGAACCCAAAGCAACAGCTGGACCGGGGGAAAGAGGTACAGTATAGGTAACCCCACCTCGACCAGTGGTGTCAAAAGGCATCCACCGTGATGGCTCTGCAGTCGGGGAAGGGCACCACATATCTGGATGTGGCGCCCCCATGCCCTGCCCCCAACAAAAAGAATGGGCAGTCTGCCAGCCAGGAAGACCCCAGAACTTCCAAATGCACCTAATACCGGGAAGAAGAGCCGAACTCAAACGAGGACAGATTGATGACAGAGGCAGAATGCAGTTCTCGCAGGAGGTACGCAGCAAGTGCCTCCCGACCCTCCTTAGGTGAGATCCGAGAAGCAGAAAACTTCCGGAAGGAAAAAGCCGAGGAACCCAAGGGCAACTGGAACTGAAACCCGGGGAGGAGCCGACCCCAAATCATACAGGGAAGGGGGGGGGGGCAAGAAAACCCCCTCCCCCTCTGCAACAAACTCTGCAAAGAGGGCACTAACACCCAAGCCAGGTCAAAGGGGGACCAAGCCCCCAAGTTAACCCCTTTCCAGCCCCGGGATCCCCCCCTCCCCAAGTCAGGACCTAGGGCAGAGCCGTTCTCCATACCCTCTACTCTTATCTACTCTAGCTGATGACGTCATTGACCATTAGCGATGCCTGTGCATGGGTCACTGGGGTAACGAAAAACATGTATGACTACGAGGGACCTTTTAATCCCCTTGAAACAAAATGGCTGGGGCCTAGGAGCAAACCTTTTAATATAACAGTTGGAAAATTATGAATTATGAAAAATGAATGAAAATATTAGGAGACTACGAGGGACCGTTGGGTAAAATATGGAAAAAACCCATGGCCCTACGTGGGACCGCTGATAAAAATCTTCAACTCGTTCGCCGGGGTAACGAAATGGACTAGGCCCTACGGAGGACCGTTGGGGATAAACATGGAAAAACCCATGGCACTACTGAAAAGAAAAGGCAGAAAATAAAGGGGCTCAAATGACTCTGTCCCCAACTCGAATGGGTTGGGAACAGCCCCTGAAGCTGCCAGTCTCGATACCAACTAAGCCCAACTCTGACTCCGAAACCTTCAGACGTTTGGAGAGCCGGAAAGGGAGAGGGAAGGGGTCACCTTCCTGGGGGTGACCAGGGAGAACAACAGGAGAAAGACCAGAGTGTGCAGACTAAACCAAAGTCAACATGACTAACGCCCCCCAAGTCTGGGTCCCTATAACTGAAACAGGGCAGCCTCGGGCCTCTGGGTGGGCGACCAACATAGGGCATTGCAGCAACCTAAACCTAACATGCAACGTGGATGCCGCCTGTATCCGAATATCAATATTATCAGAATAGGTAAACTGGAGAACATGCAGAGAACGACTCGCAAAACTCTGGGTCAAAGGTGCTGTTGACCCAACAGGCAGCATGACGGAGGCAGAAGCAGTGACTGTCACCCTGAGACAAGGGCACACAGCAACCTTCAAACTCTCACAAGGCGAGCTGGAACTCTTAAGACGCATCCATTGATCCACCGAGCCCAGCAGGGTTTTCCAGGACCCATAGGCTGACTGCTAGTAAAGCCTGAGCAAGGTGTTGCTAACCGGTTAGACCCAAGCTAACAACTGGGGAATTAAAACACAGAAGCCCCTGCGATGTGTTCAATCACAGGTGCCTAGCAGAGGGCCACCAAATTATTATAAATGGTCCAATAGCCACACCAGGCAGACCCTCATTAAGCAAACCAAACAAAAAGAAAAGAAAAATCCCACAAAAGCACAACGTCCACAGAGGAAACAGGAACCGGCTGCTGCATTGGTAAGCTGTCTGTGCAACACCTTGATGCCCCAACCAGCAACAATACCACTCATTACCCAAGGCCAAACCAGGGCCATGAAACCCTAGCTGGCCCCAAGGGCAGGGTAAATGCTGAAGAGCAAGAACCCTTACGGAAATGGTGTCCAGAACGCACCAGGGAAGATAACACTGACACACATGGGTAGTACTCACAGGGAACTTACGGAAGGCTGCCCTAAGTGCATGCAGCTTCGGTACACCTGGCCACCACACCACGAACAGCAGAGGACACCGCAAAGGCAAAACACTGTAGGAAATGGAGGCCAGAGATGACAACTACCCTGGAATGGCTGGGTCGCCAGTGCAGAGTGGGGGGGGTCCGGGCCTCCCCCCTTCCCCTCCTGGAGGAGGGGAGCTGTGCAGTGGTGAGGCATGGCAGTGGGGGTGTGATGTTTGCTTGTTTTCTTGGGATTGCAAGGAGTTCTACCCCTCTGTTCGGTTTTCGGTTGCAATTTTCTTTCTATGTGGCGTCTGTTTTGTTATGCCTACCATTCTGGGTGCCTAACCCCGGTTGAAGGCAGATAACGAAAACCCCTAACTACAGGGGGAAGGGGGTCCAGGGCCATTTCTCCCTGCACCTCTGAGGGGCCAGGTTCTGGTTCGTCGTCCCCAGTAGGCAGAACTCCTATGACTAATGGCCTGGTCTAATGAATTGCATATTAGCCCAATTGCTCCAGGGAGCGAACAGGGAGCCCCAGAGAGAAAAAAAATTACTGATCTATAACGTAGAGGGGTTTTCTCTGTATTCATTTTTAAGATTGAAACCGTTTGCTGTTTTCCCTCTACAAGGTTCCCAGCTAATAAAACTGTTTGAACCTAATTGTGCATACATCTGAGTGATTGTGGCAAGTTATTCATAATACAGCCCATCCTCCTGTTTAGGTAGCACTTATAATAGTACGGTGAGAACCATCGTACATATATAGACGTAAAAGGCAATTAGAAAGTAGAAATCGGTACTGCTGAATTTGGACAACCCAGGAAAATTTTTGTACTGATGTTGCCAAGGAAACTTAACATGACCTAACCTTCCTAGGCCTAATACATGCTATCTGAGGCCTAATATATTACAGTGGCACCTCATTGTATGATTGCCCCCGGGTACGAATTTTTTGGTATACGACAATTTCACAGTAAAATTTGCCCTGGGGTACGATGTTCGCTCTGTCGTATTAATTACTTGGTCATACTTGTATGGGTCACACATATGGGTTCTGCAGAATGCAGGCGAGGATCGATCAGGTTACCCATGTATGCCACCTAGTGATAACCACGCTTGAATTCTCAATAAAGAACATCATTTTTGTGCCTTTTGTTGCTGAACAGAAAACTTCTTACTATATATCAGACCATAGATCCCAAAAAAGTCAGTGGTAAAGTTCAAGCCAAGAAAATAGTTGTGAAGATGACAAAAAAAAAAAAAAAAAAAATTGATTAAGAATAATCATGAAGACAATATGCGCAAGGGGTATGATGTCATAGGCCAACAAGAATTCTCAATGAAGGTAAAATGTAGAAAAAATGTGACTAGTATTCTGTATAAAACGTATTTTCAAGTTAATATTTTTGGGGGTGTGGAATGGATTAATTCAATTTACATTATTTCTTGTGGGAAAATTTGATTCAATGTGAGAATATTCGGGTTATGATGCACTTCTTGAAATAGATTAAATTCTAATACAGCAAGGTTCCACTGTACATATATGTGCTATAATAGGCCCAGGAATATTTTATTTCGGTTTCTAGCTTTATTATTTCAGAGTCCATAAAGTGAATACTGTAGTACCAAATTCTACTATCTAATTGTTCATTATGTCTATGTATGTACGATAGTCCATATAGTTACTAAAATGACTATCTAAACAGGAGGATGGGTTGCATAATAGTATGCCAGTTCATATATCAAACTTCAGTAAAAATTTAGATTTATAAGAAAAGAGCAGTAATAAGAAAAATATCTGCACATAAAATGGGAAAAATACTGTACCACCCACTCTCTCAGTTGGCGATATTTTAATTTTGTACAATTCGGATCAAATTATTGAATTTTGCAATATTTGCAAATTTGAAATTGTGTTTTACATCCTGCGAATGGTGTGAGAGCTAGAAAAGCTAGTTGTGCAGCAGCGTTAAAGACAACAGCCAGAGAGCCAACACCAGGATCACTCGGCACATTTTTGGACACACGTGGGGTTAGTTACCCTCACGTACGTTTTGTGCGAGGGCTGCTAGTCCTGCTGAGAGTTCCTCTCCTTATCACAGCTGCTGTGGAAGTGCGTGAGGTGGCTGGAGGAGGTCTCTTCTGAAGGACTCCACTGCCTCCTGTAGAAAGAGCTGGAGATACTCTGCTAGAGCTTGGCCCAGTCTGAGATGCAGAATATTTTCCACTTGGCATTTTATTACAAGAAGAAACTAATTTTCCTTTGTTGCCGCGAGGATTAGCTTTAGATGGACTACGCTTACCTTGCAATTTGTGACAGGATAAAATGGACTTTATCTGGTCTTCAAAATAAGCCTCCAAACGAAGTGTCATTGAGTATATCTGAAATAAGTGGGTAATTACATTATAAACACAATCAAGACAATGCAATACTGCTATGTCAAGAGTGACTAAAATATTCCAACCACATACATGATTTTAAAATGAATTTAGAGTATTGAAAGTTAAGCCATTGAAACCAAAGTTAATATTATCAAAGCTTTTGAAGTAATTCATTACTGAAATACCATATATTACCGTACTGTACAACCAACCATCATTACATTCAAACTTACCCGGGATCTTTTATTTGTGTTATAATTTTTAGAATTAGTGAATATTAGCCTCATATCCTTTGCGAAATCATGGGGTGCAGCATATCCATTTGCAGACAGTTCCTCTCGTACTGTCGTCAAGTCCATGGGTACATCAATAACCTGGCTGTAGTCTGGATACCGATCTAAGTCAACAGGATATCTGTGAGAATAATTAAAAAATATCGAGCTGAGTGTAACGAAAGTTCCTTTCTGTGCAGCACCTCAGGCTCCCTGTAGCTTTTCTCCAATTCTCCAGTAAAAAAGCACCAATCTACTTCATACTGCCGCCTGGAAGACAAACGCAGGTGGGAAACAAATAATCCAACCACCTACAGGCCATAAAAATAGCGATAAACCTGCATCATAAAGTCCAAACATGAAGAGACGCAGAGAAGGTCGAACCAGTAAGGAACGTCACTGGCCCAATTCTCTGCAAGAGGGAGCTACGGATAAATGCTTGGGCTCAGACACTGGACTAGAAGAGCCTGCCAACAAGGAGCCAGAAGGATTATCCTCGTCAAGAATAAACTCAGAGCAACAACTGAACCACAGGAAAAAAGTAAATGCACCCCCACCTCGACTAATTCAGCTGAAAAGCATCTACCACGACAGCCTCTCAATTGGGGAACAATGCTCCACAAGATGGAAGCCGGTTTCCCGCCGAGGTGAAGAGATCCTACTCGAGGTGACCAAACGTCTCGCAAAGCTACTGGAAGCTCTCGCAGAGATGGCACAGAACCGAGACAGATCATTCATGAGTACTGTACATTGGAAACGCCCCCACATGTGGACTGCACAGAGTGCTAAACCACGAGAATCTAGAAGATGAGCCCTATCTCGGCAAGATAGCTACAGGGAGCCAACAAGGGGTTCCCCCAGATTTTTTTTTTGTAAAAATGCAATAATTAACAATAACATCTTTTACTCCCATTTTTTACTTCCCTCTATTCTGACACATCTACTATGATTAAGCCTTTGCTTCCTGTCCATCTGGAACTTCCTTATCAAATTTAGTGTCTTTCCACTTATTCCAGCTTGGCCTTCCATCTTACGGTGTTGGTAATAGTGCTGGTAGTTAGTTATAATATTGGTGGTGGGGTAGTGGGTTTTTGTGACAAGCCGTAGTAGTAATAATATTGGTGGTTTAGTCCAAACCTCACACTGGAAAATGAACTAACTACATTTTGGTCCTTCCTGAACCATCATCAAGTCATGATAATGGTCCAGGATGGATTGAAACATTTTTTTTTTCCTTTCTCTGGTGTGATATGGTCATCACGTCTCCAGCCATGTTATTGTGACTCATATGCAATTGTGGTTGTGCTGGTAGTGGAGCTAGTAGGAGTGGTAATAGTGGTGAGGAGAGGAGAAAGAAAGGGACATTAGATTATAGGAAGAGTACCAATGAAGGTAGCAAGTTATGGCCTCTGATTAACTGGTTTATTAAAATGACTTAAATCTTGCACCAAGGCCCAATAACAATAAGGACTATCCTTGTACCACCATACATACGTTTTGAGTTTCAAGTGACACCTGATGGCGTTCTCTAGATACATGTGAATACCAAAAGTGCAGACATGAAAGTAAACAAAAATTCTCGCAAAACTGTAAAGTAGCCTTTCCAGAAATATCTAATGACAACTTGCAAATGGCTTATCTTTGAAACATTTATTTTCAAATTATGTGATATATTTATCTTACCTGAAAGGCATGGAATCCTCTCTCTCAAAAATACTTCGAAGGAGATCTTTACATCTGTGTTGCCAAGTGCGATTATCAGAGAGAGCCTGGCTACGGCCTCGGAGCCCCTTGCTGTGGCCTCCTTTGCCAGGGCCTCTTGACATGCCTTCCTCTACTCCTTCCATATTTTCGTCATCACTGTGGTCGGGCGAGTGAAAATTGGCCTGCAGCTCATGATACATGTGCGTCGGGTCAACACACATTCCATCTCTGCCACAATTTTCAAAGTAAATTATTAATTTAATGCCAAACAAATTTACAATTTAAAGAACAATCGCTTGTTACATATTACAGTACAAAAGTTATGATATGAATACACTTATTGTTAACTTTTGTAACAACTGTGTATTAATTTCTTTGTATTTTAACTATTAAAACATTAATTTTTTATAAATTTGTGTAATTAATAGTTACAAAGAACTAATGAATTGCAGTAGTTCCAACAACTACAGTCGCAGCTCCTGTCACTGCACGAGAACCTGCAAAGTGCCAAATCCATCATACTGTACAGACAGTACGTTTTGTAATACAAAAACTCTTCTGGTATCTTCAAATTCAATAGTACCAATTTCTACTTTCTAAAAGCCTTTTATACCAATACATGTATGATGGTCCGCATCATCACTAAGTACTACCTAATAGGAGGATGGGCTTGACTTGCCACATGAAGTGCATCAGAAACTCTCACAACCTTACCCAACCTTGAGTGAAAGCCTAGAATCAATCAAACCACCCCTAGATGTAACATTTTCACCACACCTGCTAGTAGCCAGGTGGCAAGCGAGTCAGCTTTGATGGCCATAGTAGCACCACCACCAGTTAAGTCCACTAAATACACACATTCCTTCACTTCAATTTATACAAAATAGTAAAGCATAACAAATTGGTTAATTTTTCCTAATATCAGTAAATGTATATTTTTGTGGGTGTTGTGGAATGAGACTGGATTGACTAGGAGCATCATAGATAATCCTCACTAATCCTCGGGTCTCGGTCTCTCTCTCTCTCTCTCACTCTTGCCTAATTTACATCTGTGCATTTTGTGATAGTTTTGGCTTATACTTTGCATCACTGCACATCTAAGTACTGTCTCCACTCGATCATCCGGACTATATGGGAAGGACCCCCAGCCGGATTATCACATTTTTCGGATAATGGTACCTTTTCACCTACGAGTCCAAAAGTGACAATTTCCAACTACTTTTATACTACAAACAACATAATTTGAATTGCCTTGCCACATATAATTATTAAATATTTAACTAGAAACCTCAACTTACCTTGTTGGTGTTCGTCTGCTTGATTGATGCCACACATCTTGAAGTTAAGAATTCTTAACAATTTACGTAACCTATACTAACACAACACTAAAATTAACACTTAAAATTACTGTACAGTTCATTAAGCAAAGTTAGTTTTGACTGCCAGCTGCTGAAGCCTCACTGGTTGAAGGCATTTGGGTTGCCTGTGAGGCCTCGCTTGTATGCGCCTCACTTGTTGAAGCGCTTGCATGTCCTCACTTGTTGAAGCGCTTGGCTTACCTGTGATGCCTCACTTGCTAAAGGCGCTTGCTTGCGCCTCACTTGTTGAAGGCGCTTGGCTTGCCTGTGAAGCCTCACTTGTTGAAGGCATTTGGCTTGCTTGTGACGCCTCACTTGTTGAAGGCGCTTGCTTGCTTGCGCCTCACTTGTTGAAGGCGCTTGGCTTGCCTGTGGCGCCTCACTGGTTGAACAACACATAACTTGTCTTTAATTGCTAGGACAACATTCTTCCTCTTAACACCTCCAGAACGATTGATGCTGCTACCAGACATAGTCTTGGCCAAAAATGTTCAAAGTTACTATGAAAATAAAAAAGTTATTTAAAAAAATATTTCACTAATGGCGCAGCACTGTGTATAACACGAGGGATGGACGCACATGGGTTGACCAGTGTTGGACGGGTCCACTTGGGGTGGGGCAGCTATAGCTCGTTACGTAGGCCGTCAGGAGGAAAAAAACACAATATTTTTGAAGGAAACTTCAGCCTGTGCACATTACTTTTAGGAAACTTATTTATTTGTTATTACATAATTACTAGTACTTATTTCATTTGTTTTTGGCTATGATTAAGTGTTCTAAAATTAATGGTAATTCCTGTACCCAGGTGGTCCCTTCCGACGCACCCCTCCCACCCTCCCAACGCCACCCACCCACCCCACCCCCTCCTCCACCATGCGTCTAGAGCCACAGACGGGTTTATTACGGTATGGCCGAATATTCATCCGGCCAAACCAGCTTTTATCCGGTTCCTGTGGCCATTTTGGCCGGATGTTGTGATAACTTTATCCGATCACGATTTTGGCCGTATAAGGGCGTTTTCCGGATGTTTGAATCCCGGATAATCGCGGGGTTACAGTACAACAGTGATTATGTTTTTTTTACAGTAAACTATAATCTCAAACATTATTTTCTACGGAGGAAAATGAACTTTATATGCCATTCTGAGCCCACAATTAATTAAATAAAAATTAGTGAAATTTTTGATCCGTAAAAGCAATTTGAATTTTTGCAAGTTTCACTTTTTAAAACAATTTGTTTTTATACCCTGTTAATTTTTGAGCAATGATCCATTAACAAAAGTTGGAGCAATGACCATGTGGATTATGCACAAATAATTTGAGTGTGAGAGGAAGGTTGAGAGTATATAGGTCTCAGCCCCTCTTAAATATTCCTAGGCATAGCACACACATGAGGCCATATTAGGCCTCAGATATTGTGTATTAGGCCTAGGAAGGTTAGGATGGGTTAGTTTAGCTTGTCACAAAGCAACACAAGCAAAAAATAGTATTATGGTTTATCCAACTCAATAGTTCAGATTTCTACGTTCTAATTTCGTTGTAGGTTGGTATATACACTGTACTATGGTTCTCATTGTTACTATAAGTACAGTACTACCAAAACAGGAGGATGGGCCGAGAATAAGGCACGCCATAAAACCAACAATAAATGAAAGTGAAAATAATTGTCAATAAAAGAAAAGGGCACAATTCACCATACAGTATAATGAAAATTTTATTTTCATTAAAAATTCATATTCAAACTGAGCACAAAATTGAAAGTACTTTCTACTAAAAAATAACATACTTGATTAGTTCGAGGCAGAGCTCTGTAACAATCCTGGCCTGCCGGACAATGTTGCTACCTTTCTGGTTAAACTTCTCTGTATTTGTGGCAATATATCGGACATCAAACTGGGCGGCATTGATGCGTCGATAAAATCGATTATCTAGTCTACTCTGAAAGGCAATAAGTAGTAACTAGTTAGTGAAAATAAATATTTGTCATTAAAAAAAAATACTCATGCCATGAACTCTGAATGCTTTTCAGAAAACATTTGCTGTAGATAATATGCAAAAAAATGCTATATATATAATTTTCCCCCAAAAATATTCAAATAATTTTCAGCATTTAGAAAGTTTTAAATGTCTTAACATTAACTTAAGTGATAAGTTAATGCTAGACATCCTCTGCAAAAGAAGATCTCTTCCACACAACCTAAGCTATTTCTCTGCAACAATTATGATCTTTGCTGTTGATCAGTATTTCTGAAGTTATATTGATATTAGTTATATAAACAATCACAGTTCGAAGGGAACACAACAAAACGAGTAGAAGAAAAGGACATTGTCCAAAGACCAAGCAGGCTCTAGTGTCACATGAGCAAGCCAGAGGTGAAACAGTGCCTGAGAAAGTTATGAAACGGGGCCAAAGAAGCACTGACACCAAACAAGCGAGTGGCTTTGCTAGTGCCGCACAATATGAGGCAACAGTATTCGGCATTAGAAGCCGAACCAGAAAAAACAAGAAAAGACAGGCCAACCAAAACCGACACTAGAGAGCAATGACAAATGGACAGGAAATGGCGGAGAGCATGCAAGGAGACTTCATACGTACTGTCACAGAGGATCACAGGTGGGACACCAATCGGCTACCTGATCACTATAGAGATGGCAATAAACAGGTCAGAAAAACTCCAGATATGAAAATCTGAGAAGATGGAACCTGCAAGGTATATCACTGGACAGATCTTCTGCAAGAGGTGGAGCCATGGGAAAATGGCTGGGGGTAAGACACCGAACAAACAGCGCTTGAAACCAAGGCTGGGACAGCCACAAGTATCACCCAATGTCCTCTGAGAGCCAATCTGAATGCACCTCCAGAAGGCTCATGAAGCACACAACAGTGCCCAGGTGCAAACGAGTGCGCCCGGTCTTCCGCAACCAGCATACCCAACAACTGAGGAACCTGAATATAGAGCCACAACATCCCGAAATCCCTCGGGAGAGCGGGAGCAAACAGGCAAACATTGAGAAGTGCAAAGTAAGCGTGCCCCAGAAACAAACATGGAAGTCTCACATTAACCAAGGAAGTGGAATCGACAAACTGTACCAAGCCCCCCAATGAAAACAAAGGGTTGTCTGCCAGCCAGGACAACTCTAGAACCTCATAATGCATCCAATGAGAATAAGAACCTAACTGGAAAAATGCCAGAACCATCACTGAGGCAAAATCCGCGTTGCACAGGAGGTACGCGCACACAGCCTCTCGAGTCCCCGCAGAAGGGAAGCCAAGAGGTTGCAAACCTCCAGGATGGATGGATCCAACTCTAGGGCACCCATTTTAAACTCATAGAAGGGAATGGGGGATATGAAAACCCCATACCCTGCAATAAAGCCCTCGTGGTGCACACCTTCCTGGTGCTGCACCATAGTGCACATCAATATCATATCTCCTATTTTAGGATTGCTTAGTTGTTGTGCAACATAAAAAATACATCCTTAATACAAGGCCATTGCCACTGGACAGCAGCACAAGAATTAAGAATGTATTACAGAGCACCACTTGGTTTCCGAACCCCTTGGGGACGAGACCCATCGGTTAACATGTAAGTTCGGATACGAGAAATAGAGGGGAAAAAATAAACTAGAAATGTAAAAAGAAATTTTTCCGAAAAAATTTACGAAAAAACTCTAGGGAAAAAAATCGACAGGTTCATAGCGTAAATGCGACCGTGTTTTGTTTGTACTCGCCAATAAGTGAAGTCCTGATCCGCTTTATAAAAGTCCTTAATTGTTCCTAACTGATTATTAGGACGTCTGGCAAACATCCTCTGGATGTTTCCTGCCAGCCTGCAGGAACATCCTGCCAGCCTGCAGGAACATCCTGCCAGCCTGCAGGAACATCCTGCCAGCCTGCAGGAACATCCTGCCAGCCTGCAGGAACATCCTGCCAGCCTGCAGGAACATCCTGCCAGCCTGCAGGAACATCCTGCCAGCCTGCAGGAACATCCTGCCAGCCTGCAGGAACATCCTGCCAGCCTGCAGGAACATCCTGCCAGCCTGCCTGCCTGCCAGCCTGCAGGAACATCCTGCCAGCCTGCCTGCCAGCCTGCAGGAACATCCTGCCAGCCTGCCTGCCAGCTTGCCTGCCAGCCTGCAGGAACATCCTGCCAGCCTGCTTGCCAGCTTGCCTGCGAGCCTGCAGGCACATCCTGCCAGCCTGCCTGCCAGCTTGCCTGCGAGCCTGCAGGCACATCCTGCCTAAAATATACGATGATGTACTGTACATTTAAGAAACAAATCTGGGTCACAGGTCTGTGGAGTGTGGTTAGGCTTACGGAGTCAGCCGTCCATCCCCCACCACCGACACACCTCCCCCACCCCAAACCCATACACACACACACTCTCAAAGGTCACGTGGTTCACGGTTCACTACAACACCCATATATCGCTTCCTGCCTGCCTGCCTCCTTCCCAGCCTGCAAGCTTGCCTGCCTCCTTCCCAGCCTGCAAGCTTGCCTGCCTCCTTCCCAGCCTGCAAGCTTGCCTGCCTCCTTCCCAGCCTGCCTGCCTGCCTGCCTCCTTACCAGCCTGCCTGCCTGCCTCCTTCCCAGCCAGCCTGCCTGCCTCCTTTCCAGTCAGCCTGCCTGCCTCCTTCCCAGCCAGCCTGCCTGCCTCCTTCTCAGCCAGCCTGCCTGCCTCCTTCCCAGCCAGCCTGCCTCCCTCCCTGCCATCATGCTAACGGGTAGTGTGTGTTAGGCTTATCTTCGGGAATGAGCCGGTCTCACCCCCACCACCAACAAACCACCCGCCCCCCCTACATCCCATCTCTCAAGGTCACGCGGTTCAACCGCGTGACTACCACTCACTCCCTGCCTGCCAGCCTGCCTGCAAGCTAGCCTGCCTGCCTGTGCCTGCCAGCCTGCCTTTCCCTCCCTAATTCTCACTACTTCCTGCCTACCTCCTAGCATCTCTCCCTACCTCCCCCTCCCTCTTAGCATCTCTCCCTACCTCCTAACATCTCTCCCTACCTCCCCCTCCCTCCTAGCATCTCTCTCTCCCTCCCTTTCTGACTAATTCTCCCCCTCTCTCACTGATTCCCCCCCTCCTCTCTCATACTGCCTCCCACCTAAGCTCCATCGTCCATCCACCCACCAGTCAGCCATCACTGACGCAATGCGTGCATTTGGAGCCGACATGGTGCACAGATGTTTCTTGATTGTGCAGATATGTAAAACAAAAGCACAGAATGAACATTCCAGCCTTAAGGCAATTCAAAATAATAGGAATAATAGGCCGTGAATCTGTGAAGTCACAGTGGGCAAACTGGACCATCTCCCACCCACCACAACAAGCCGGCGTGACGCTTGGCGGACCCCTTCCTACCCGAACTTTGTTCGGGTAGCATGATTCCCCAACCCCAATCGGGAAACTGGAAGTTTCGGATAACTAAAGTTCGGAAACCAAGTGGTGCTCTGTATACCACTGGTTCCTTTGAGTCAAATTAACTCCAAGTGGAGCAAGTCATTAACAGGCTAGTGTGACAAGTGATTGAATACATTTTGAAGTTCAAAGAGAGCAATACTTACATCTGTGTTATTCAAAATTTTACTGAATTTGTATTTCATGTTTATAATTCCAGTATTCGTAAACATTTGTAAAGATTTGAGCTGTGCTTTATTATCTGGGATTAATATCACTTGTGTGAACACAAATGTATCTATCATGCCTTGACAACTTTAAAAATGCTATCATTTACCTTAATAGTGGTGAGATCCATTGGATAGTCAATGATTAAAGCATACATTGGGTAAACATTGAGATCGACGGGGACAAGGAAAGGTTCAGCAATGGCCAGACTCATGACTTGGGATAGCCCATGTGAAATTCGGTCACACTCTAGATCTGGGTCTCGTCCAGCCCATTCTTCATCTTGTGGGGTATAAAGGAGCTCCTCGAGTTCCTCTTGTTTCACTGCTACACTACCACCTGGCTCCACCACTTGCACTGTAAAATGTTTAATCCTTAGATGTATTTTGACTGTACTAAACTGAGGGAGGTACTGAACATGCATAAATCTCGGAAACATTGTTGTTTATCAAAATAGTGTAATAATGCATTTCACAGCATGCACTGAATCAACATACTGTGCATCTCCCACCTGGGGAAGCAAATACAAACACACACACTAACTCGTCAAATCTTGCATGATTAATATGGCTGAAGTCTTTGCAATAATCTGCTGTACACATATTCCCCGCCTCTATCATTGTACCTTTACATGCAAGGATCAAACATGGCTGTCTATCAAATTTTGCAATGCTTAACTGATTCGCTACCATCTGTTACCTCCTCTGCTACTTAATAAATTGCACCATTTTATGCTCAACATAAGATACTTATGTGTACGTTAGGCATATACACACAATCCATCATGTGGGCTGAGTGTCTTACAGATGTCCCCTTGATGCAATCAACCTCTGCATCCTCCATCTTCAGCTCGGAAACATGGATTGTCTTTCTCACAGGGTGGCGGCAGCTTGGTGTTCCTGCCAACCATTCCAAAGTTATTCACATACATAATATTCTCTCCAGCATCCACATACTGTATTACTTTATCACGTTATGTACTATATTTCAACATTTACACATGGAAATGTTTATCTTGTACTCATAACACTGTTCTTTCTAAATGTTTGCAGGAACCTCATTGTTATTGCCGCCTACACGCACACGACCACTGGCTACTATCTTGGAGGCACACAAAAATATATCCATCGGCACTTATCCATACTTTTCTATCCAACAAACACCAATCTTGTTCTTTCATGAATATGCCAAGCCGAGTCTTTGTCATACAAGAAAAATGCTTTTACATACGCTTCCTTTACAAAAATGATAAATTTGAATATAAAAAGTAAGAAAAATGCAAACAAATATATAAATACATCATTCCTTGTTTGGTGAAGTATGCACAGTAGCTGGTTGACCTAGTCAGCGAGTCCATCAACACTACATGTGTAGTTTATTAACAATGGTGCAGGGGAGAGGACTCAAATGTTCAACTTAGAAGACGGTGTTTATATTTGTTGCTGCAGTCTACACAATGCCATAGTTGTGCCAAGTAATTCAATATACATACACATACAGTAACTGACAAAAGCAACGAGTATTTTATATAGGCCTACAATGAAACTTAAATGATAATTAGAATAGGTTTACAATGAAAATATGTAAGCTTATTTTGCAAGCAAACCTGTTCCTGGCACAGGTCAAAAGAAGTGCCTTGCAATCCACTCATTTATTGTAATCCGGTCTGGTAATGCCATCAAGAATGGATTCAAACACTGCTGGTAAAGACAAAAGAGCACTTGATAATCACTCTTTGAATATTACCTCCTCGCAAAGCAATTACAAAAACTATTGCATTTTTTTCCATTGCTCTTGGTTAACTCCATTACATTCACACAGGCATATTATAACCCATGTTTACATTATTAGTATACAAACTAGGTTATAATACAACACAACCAGAAGATGACCACATTTAGAGAGTTAAAACTATTTGGGTGAAGATTTTCTATTACTATATAGTTCTAAGACAATTTTACCAAATTTTAATGAATTTTTTTTGTTTGCAATATATAAAGTGTAATTCTCTTAAAAATATTACTTGCTTTTAATAGTCAATTCAGACTACTGGGATTTACCTAGCACTATGGTGTAGCTAAGTTTATTCTCTTACAAAAGATTAATCAAAGTTGCTATTCTACAAACAATGTAAAAACTTTTTTGAAACCTGCCACCTAAGAGGTTACCCACCCCAGTAGTAAATTAGACATTCCTTGCATCAGCATAAGCAAGTCTAAGCTTTTAAGTCAATACGTGAATATTCTATCCATACATCGCATAGTCACTACAAATCAAAGGGCAAGAAAAACTAAACATGTTCAACATCAAGGTTCCCCCCTACTGGAGATACCAAATAACAATAGAAATTTCCAGCAATAAATACAACACAAAGGTGTAAACCATTTGGGTGATGCCATGATGCATGAAGGAATTACAAGAAGTGCATGACATTATTGTGAGAAGCTACAAATTTCCAGAATGATATATATCTGTTCTACAACACAACAAAATTGATGCACAAAATTTACATGTTAACCTGTAGACCTGAGCATATCTTTTCAAGCAATTAAAATTTTGGTACCAAAATCTGGAGTGAGTAGCTGGTAGTATATCAACTGTATTACTGTATGGCAATTAAGTACAAAGCATGACAATTAACTTGGCAACACATGACAACATCAAATATATTAAGAGTGCAATACTTCAACTTACTGTTATCTTCTATGATTTCCATATCCCATGGACTTAATCTTTCTCGCTCGCCATTATCCCAGAGGACACGATAGCACATGAACATTGAATCTTGGAACTCGGGCAAGTGGGACTCCTGGCTCTCTACTGTACCCAGCCACCACGCATCATCAATGATACACCGGAATCTGTCACCTGTTTATGACATAGAAACACTATAAAACGTTTGTTTTCATGAATTACTTTTGTTTTCATGTATTTAACTCTTATTGCCCTATTCAAAGGCATTAAATAATTCAGACAGATCTAGGGGAGGATCTGGATGGTAGACTGTCACCAGTGTAACATACTATAGTATTGTATTTGTGGGGAGCATATGATACACTTTTCAATTTCATAATTGCTTTTAAATACAAAGTGAAATATTAAAGAAACTGTTCACAACTTTTCTAAGAACAAAATTGGAATATGCAGTATATGTGCTACTTGATATGTGGACACCATACATCAATAAACTGGAAAAGGTGCAGAGATGTGTTATGAAATGGTTTCTGGAACTGAAAAACAAGAGCTACAAGGAAAAAATCAGAGGCGCTAAATATGCCAAAGCTAGAAGATAGAAGAAAAAATAGTGCGTTATAATCACCATATACAAAATAGTAACAGGAACTGACAAAACTGACAGGAGTTTTTTAAACCTGCAACTTCGAGAACAAGAAGTCATTGATTCAAGCTAAGGAAACAAAGCTACCAAAAAAAAAAATATTAGAAAGTTTTTTTGCCGAGTGGTAGAGAGTTGGAACAAGAAAAGCGGCAGTGGATGCCAAAACCATCGGTAGTTTCAAAGCCTCACATGACAGTACGATACTGGGAAGATGGGACACCACAAGCACAGCTCTCATCCTTCAACTATACATAGGTAATTACAATCAACTCTTGCACTGAAACACCATTTTTACTGCCTTAGTCCCTACCATAGGTTGTAATAATTCAGACAAAAAGCACAATGTAATGAAATGCCCCTTTCTAGGCAGCTTTTGGTAGCTACCTGGAATGTAAGGCTCTGCTACCACTAAGGCTACCACCAAGACTACCACATGCTACCAAGCCATTGGTTTTGTATAACTTGTCCAAAATCAGGATCAGAATATCTTTTGCTCAGCGAGGCCAGCACTTACATCAGGATTCAATATAAATCTAAGGATTCTACTCAGAATATATAAGTACTGTAAAGAAAAATACAGTACTGTAAAACAAATCAACTGCTCTTAATAATATGACATTATGAAATGCTATAATGGTTTCAGACAAATAACTCCTGCTCCAACTCTCTTCACCACCAAATTCAAAAGACCTTCCAATGTCCCTCAGGATTGTCGTGCTCAAGGTTTATCTATCTTAAGCATCCGAGTCACTTTATAAACTTTTTTTTACCGCTTTCTTCTTGTTTCAGACTTATAATTTTGAGCCGTAAAATTCACTAATATGAAGACTTTTTCTTTACAAGGAAAAAGAAATTTCCTTTTCCTTTCCTTTTCCTCTAAAGCAAATTATACAAATCCGTGTATGTGGAAATAAATGCAGGATTAATTTTCAGTTGTACAGTATTTTAATACCTGTACATAAAACTCCTTGATTTGATGCTTATTTGTAATATTCAGTCACCGTGGTGCAGTGGCAAGATGCTCGCCCCGTATTTCGCAAGTAATTCAGCATCAGTTCATAGCTTGGCCAGGGAGGATTGACTAGGTGCCAATTCTTAACTGTACGCCTCTATTCACCCAGCAATGAATGGGTATCTCGTTAAACGATTTGGCGGGTTGTATTCCAGGGAAAATTAGGATTAAGGACCTGCCTAATACATTGTGTGTGCTGGTGGTTTTACAAGAATGTAAGAACTCTTGTACACACAAATAAAATAAAAATTAGGATTCTAAATATGCATGGCCTAGAATCACAATACTGTACTAAAACTAATTTTTATATTTTATAAAGTATTAGACTTGCTTAAAAAAAGTTGTTTACAGTAATTGTTGTAAATAACAATCACAGTATATAACAATAAAAAATATAATTATGCTAATCGGAAGTAGAGCATTAATAATTATGTTCGTGTTAGGAGTGCACACAACCTCTTTTTGAGCTGCTTGAACCATATTTCTACATTTTAATTTTTTTTATTTTAATATTTCTTGGTGGAACAAATGTAAAGATCTGGTTTATTTCTTACAATAAATGCTAAAGAAATTGATTTTCTAGCTTCATGCCAACCTTCAGTAAGTACAGGTCTGAAAAAACCTATGACGTCACAGCAAAAGGGGGGTTCACAATGTAGTGTCAGATAAATTTTCTGCACACGCCAAGATTTGGGACCTTATTTTGACATTTCAAATATTGTTCAAGCAAATATTTAATGAATTCAAAGTTACAGATGAATCAAGCTTCCAATTTTCAAAGTTTTCCTCTGTACAGCACGTCATTGAAATTTCTCTTCACAACCCGGTACTTGCTTGAATGCTAAAAGTACTTTATATGTAGTTACAGATTTTGTCAGATTGGTTTTTAGTAATATCAGCCACTTGCTAGTACTAATCTATCACATTTACAAGAGAAATGAATAACTATTCTTGTAATTATATGCACTCACTGTGTGTACAAGATCAAAAGAGCACCTTTACCCCAAGCCAATTTACCATTTACATTATTTTGTAGCTAGACAGTGCATGGGACTGTAGAGCATTATACTTATGTATAATATATCCTTATGCTTAAAACATGCATTAGTAGCACATAACTTTCTTTCATTGCATGTTTTTCCATGTGCAGTCACTGTCATGCAACTCAGGCCATCATACTTATCACTCATTAATCTCAACTATTGTACATCAAAAAAATTATCCCAATTCTACTTGTGTGATACATTTGCCGATTCAGCCGGCATCATTCATATATGAATATAGTAATGCCTCTTTGTTAAATCTCAGCTTATATATACATACTGTACTGTATTTGAATTACACAAATCATACCTGTGAAAATATATTTGTATCAACTTACCTGGCCTCCATTGCCTCCTAACAGCAACATCGTATGTAGCCTTCAGAATTAAGAAGTCAAGGACATCAGGCATGTCATGGTATTTGATGGTAAAGGAGTCTGTCGTTAGCTTGCCCTTGCCAACTTCTAAGATCCCTAGCTTCAGGCAGCACAACCGTGGTGGCTTAATCTCGTATTTAATACCAATTATCTTGACAAATTCTTGATGCTGAAAGATAATGTGCAAAAGAAATGTCTACCAAAATTCTCCAAAGTCATCTGCAAGTCATATGAAAATTAAATTATGGGTACATTGGAACCTGCAGAGTCTGGGTCACAACAAGATGAAAAGATTGATAGTATGGAAAGAAGAAGCTACCAGAACACTTAAAATTCCAGATCAGTGATTCCCTACTGTACCGATTCAGGACAAAAAATCTGAAAATTTTGTCAAGATGACAGTAAATATGAAATACCTCTTTTTGAGCAAAATCATTTGGTTGCCTCCTAAGTCAGACTGAGTGACATTTTGGTACTGGCACTATATGGAATTTTTGTAAAGAAATCATCCTCATGGAAATAACAAGGTGTGAAAGTAATTCAGCAAGAAGTCACAGAGCTGTTGCTGCTAAACAAAAGAAAAGAGACACACATGAAGGTACTAGACTATAAAAGCAGTAGGGCCAGACCAGCCGTTGCTATGGCTGGCACAAGAGAACGCCCAGACATCTGAGAAAAGGCAAATGTAATCCAAATAATACAAGGGACAAAACAAGTACTGAACTGTAGACCATCGTCATTACCATCAATTCCTTGAAAAGTTGTGGAGAAAGTCACCTGGAAAATAATAAATTTGCCAACAGATGGGTAACCATTTGTAGAGGGAACGTTATACTTAACCAACTTCACAGTATTATGACAAGGTCATTATGACAACAGGAGAAAGGTTAGGTAAATCTTTCTTTCTAGAATCAGAAACTGAACACTACTCCCTGCAAGAAACTGGTGTATACAAGAGAGATCTGCAATAACTTGAAAAACAATGAACTGGGTAAAGGAATATTGGATTGAGAAAAATTATCAGTCAGAGGTCAGATATCAGGATGCAGGAATGTGTCAAATCTTCACTTGACACATTCCTACACCTTAATACCTCGAGCTCTGACTAGGTCCATGTGTGTTCCTAATCTCTATGAACAAACTATCCAAGGTAGTGAGTTTGTATCAATAAGTAAGCCCTGAGAAGTGCTGCATGGTGCTGTAGGAACAGAAGAATACGCAGAAAGCACATTGCCTTATACAAGGCACCACCTATTTATGCCTAATAAAACACACACACACACACACACACGTCTAACCCATGCTTTAAGTGATCCAGCTATACGACAGCTTGTGTAGCCCAGTAATCTGTCCAACAAATCTACAACCCAATTCTTAAACCAGTATTTACCCAAGTCTTTTCTGATTAAACTTAACCAATTTATATACAGTAGATTGCACACCTTAATTATTGCTTCCTGCTGACTGGGCAATATTTGTTTGTATAATTTATGACACGCAGATAGCCAACTTCTTTCTTCTTGCTGCTTAGCTTCTCTTCCTCCTCATTGTTCTCACGTCTTACCACATAAACCTGCCCATCTCTTGCCATCCTGTCATTTGGTCTTTGACAAAGGATTGGAAACAATCTGTAAGCGCTCAGATCTATATACTAATTTTTCAAATATCTTAGTCAGCATTTAATGAAATCAGTGTTTTGTTATCTTTCATGCTTAGCACCCTATAAATATCCTCTGTTATACACTTTTATCCATTTGCTCACAGCACAATGGGACCTTGCTCAAATGAGTTATATAAGACTGGAACCCTTGGTGGGCTGGAAAGAACTAGCAAACGGACAAATTCTTAAACTGGAATTCAGTGTTTGCTGCAAGTGGTCTTAGCACATCAGCCAATTAAATAAGAAAAAACTAAATAAATTGAGGAAAGTGAGCAAGTCTTGGAAGTTATAAGTGAGAGAACTAGGGGCAATGGTACAAAATTGAAACTGTTCATGAAATCAAAGCATAAGGTGTTACATGAGGCTGCTTATAAATGGTTTATGTACCAGCATAGTACAGTAGTTATGTAGTGTTTGCCTTGTATTGAATACCACTGGTATTGAGTACCACTATTTACCCATATTTCTGCTACAGAGATTAATAAGCTCTTCAAAAAGTTCTTAAGTATTGAATATAATGAAATGCTCCTTTCTGGTGGGCCACACAATAACTTGCCAAGCTTTAGGATATTGTACCAAATCTCCAATACCTTAACAGGAGTCAGGAAAAGAATTCTGGTTTCTCTACAAGGCAAGAGAGACTTTGGGATCAGAGACCACCGAGAAAACCCCCACCAGATAGTATAAATGCATTAAAACAAGCAACGGCTTGAAATAGTTTAGTAACCTTGAGGAAAACCAAATCAAATATAATTGTTGCCTAGAGGTAAACACACGCACCCAAAAACCACTAGATGGTAGCCGAAATCACCAGGGCCCCTGGCCCACCTCATTCAGAAGTTGTCTGAACAGCAACCTTTCCCCAACATACACAGGATAGAAGGGAAGCTACTGTGTGCGCCCCACCAGTAAAGTGCATTTCATTACATTCAATGTTAACTCTGAATGGAACTATGGCAGAGGCAACCAGCTTTTCTGGAAAGGAAACAAAAGATAAACAAAGAAGAACGGGGGCTTACCCATGGAAGAACAAAAGGAGAGGAGAGCACAGGGCAGATCATCATCAGCACTACAAAATGCTCCCGTGCCAAGTAAGCTCATCAAGACCAAGGAACATTCACAAAGTGGTGACAGCTAGCAACTTGTTGGATCACCAGGAGCCCTAAGATCTGACGTTTTGTCTGTAGACATGTCATAAAACGCTGATAAAGCAGTAAACGTTTGCACATCATTAGAACAGAAACACTGCAACTGTGGACTGGTTAAACCAAACTACCTTCTGGATGATCATGGAGAGAGGGGTCTTGGAACAAGGAATGTGAAAAACCAGGTTGACAAGGCATTGATCCATACAACACAGCATGCAAATAATGCTACACATTAACCACAGGACAGATCATATGCTGCAACCCTGGCTATGGAAGCCAGGAGTTTATAACCAAAAGCTTAGAAAATAACAAGACCCAAAAGAACAGAAACCATGACTCCGGAGAAAAGCACAAAACCTTCCAACCAGCAGCCAAAAGCAAAATCCATAATGAGAGCATCTTAAAAAAAAAAAAAAAAAAAAAAAAAAAAAAGAATTCTCAACAGAGGAAAAACCCAAAAGCAATTCACCCATCAATTGATCCATCCACCCAACCATCCAGCCAGCTAGGAAGGCCATCTAGAGTACCAGACTAACTCCATTAATGACTGGGAAGGAATCAACGGAGACTTTTGCCACTTTATTAGAAACCCAAAACATGCCTACTGGGAAAGAAATCTCTGGCCATCAAACAACTTTGATGGATTCCAAAGCAGCACGTCATTGAGATACTTGGGTTGTGAGGCTTCTAGTGCAAGTCTGGTGAAGATTCTGAATACGAAGTTTAGCTTCAACTGAGGAACCCTAAAGAACCCACTTTAAGCTCTAGTGGAAACTAGCAAAAACCAACTCGAAACCACCTGGTAATCCTGGGAAATGTATTTCATCTGAAAAGTTGAACAAGGAATGTGAGTACAGTATTGATAAAGGAAATAATGAAAACCAGAATATCTGACTGGACTGACATCTTTGGGACTGTAAATACAGTAACTGGGAATCACTCAGAAATTTAGTTGTTGCAATGACTCCCTGTTCCAACAAATAATAAATGACAGTCCAGAGGAGAAGAATAAATGGCTGTGAATGAACCTGGGGTACCTGACAAGGAAGAGAATATCAAGCCTAAAGAAGGCCTGGAAACATGAGGACCATGCCTGTCAAAAAGTAACCAGACATCCCCTCCAACCACACTGTCACTTAAGTTTACTTACCACAAAAGGGATGCAGTGAGAATCCACCAAACATTAGAAGCCTTGATTTTGAAGAGGACGAGCTAATAGGCAGCTCAGCTTACACCAGCGCCAAAGTTGTACCAGAATCCCCACCTCGGCCAGTAGCCCACTAAAAGCAATACCCAGAGCAACCGGTGCCCGATAGATTCCCGAAGGAAACAGTACCATGGAAAATGGGGAAGCAAACAGCAGAGAAACCAAGTGGACTTCTGAAGGCAAGACAAAATGCACACCAGCAAATCTGACAGCAAATTCTTACAGCAGCTGCCCACCTTGGCTAATTATACCTGGCACTAATTAAAGCTCTATGTTCACGCTCCTATCATATTTTCTTAACATTGTGGATAGAAGTGGCTAAAAATTCTTTCTTCAATGCACTCCACTTGTGAAGTACCTGTACTAAGTACAAGAATTACTTGAATTTCCAAGACTCAATTGTGCATTCAGCTTCCACCAATGTCCCCTCGTACTACTTCCTCCCAATTTAAACAAGCCACATTTTTGTTGTTGTCAATTCCTCTTGGTATCATATTGCTTTATCACACCCTCTTTCTTCTCTCCTTTAAGATTGTAAGGTTGCATTCATTAACTAGTCTTTATAACTAAGCCCCCTCAATTCTCATACTAATCTGGTTGCAAACCTCTGACCTTTCAAGTTTTCCTTTGAGCTTCACAAGTGACAAGTTCCATGCCGGTGTGGAAAAGTCCAGTAAAGGACTTGTATAGGCAGTATATATATATGGTCTTGTATGCTTCCTTGTTTAAATTATTAACTACTGTTCCCATGTTTGCCAACATTCCATATACCAGACATTATCCTGCTTCAGGTGTTAGCATTGGGATTATATTCATTTGCAGTTACCTTCATTTTTATGTTCTTATGACAGTCTCATTATCCCCAACTGACTATCTTGTGAATTAGTTTTTTGTGGGGAACTGTATTAAAAATCTTACTAGAAATCTAGAAAGATGCAGTCTGCCCATTCTTTAGTTATTATTTTTCTCTGTATTCATGTTCCTCAGTTTTCAGATTTACTCTGAATGTTTTAGAATTCAATTCCAGTATTTTGCATGGAATTTATGTTAGTGAGACATGTCTATAGTTTAGTGCTTCATGTTTATCTCCTTTCTTGAATATTGAAATTGCAGTACTTTGCCTTTTTCCAGATTTCTGGCAGTTCTTCTGTCTCTAGTGTTATGTTGAAAGCTCTAGTTAATGAGTGACAATCCCTGTAGCTTCCTTCAGTATTCATGATGATATCTGGCATGGTTCTACTATTGTTACACCTAGTTCCTTCAGGTGTCCTTTTACAATAACCTTAATTCTGCCTAGTGTTGCTTCCGTTTGTCACCTCTGCTGTGACACCAATTTGGTTCTCGTTTGTAGACCTGGAACACATTGAATTCTTCACACACTTCTTTGTCCTTTTCCAAGAGTGGTAATCCCTGTTCCCAGTCTGATAATATGGTGTTTTACTTTTTTTCTGTACAGTAGATGTATGGCTGTGCAACAACTTAGGTCGCTCTTTGTTTTTGCCACATTTGTTTCCGGTTCTTTGTTTTTGCCACATTTGTTTGACAAAATTGTTTTCAAACTGCTGCTCTGCTGTCCCCCTAATTCTGGTGTACTCCTTTCTAGCACTTTTAAATGCCTCTTTATTTGCCTCTATCCATGTCTGTATACTTATTTCATGCCTGTTTTGTCTTGTCCTCCTTTCATTACTTGCTTGATGGGGTTCTGGGAGTTCATTTACTCCCGAAGTCCAGCCCGATGCCAGGGTTGACTTGTGAGAGCTTGGTTCAACAGGATGTTGCTTGGAGCAGAATGCACACCCACATGTCTACCACAGCCTAGTTGGTCCTTGAAGAAAATTATCTAATTTTCTCTTGATCTCAACAGTTGTTCCGGCAATATTTCTTATACTTGCTGGAAGGATGTTTAACAACCGTGGACCTCTCATGTTTATACAACTTGTCTGTTGAATACACTATACATTATCTGTTGAACTGTGGGTGTGCCGTTCTCTCTCCATCTATTTTCCCCGTAAGAGGTATGACCCGTTCCATTTCTTCTATGCATTTCTGTGTTACAAATTCCAACATCTCGGTCACTGACTTTTTTTTCCCCCCCGTTTCATCCTTTAATTGAACTTCCTGCAGATGTAAACCAAATTTAGTAAATATATAAGGAGATATGATCCCAACCATTTTCATAACATTTCTGGTACTACTACCAAGCTAAACTCCATACTCCACTAAACAAAACTCATTGAAATTCAGCACTTCCAAAATGAAGGCAAGCCCTGTGCATTTTCCAAATCCAGTCTAAACTATTTCTTCTGTCAAAGATTTTCAAAAACTTTTTTGTTTTTTACTAACTATATAAACCCAGCATTCAAAGTTGTGGGCCAACATTCAGTTCCGAGTGATCAAAATTCTTCAATCCGAAAATTAAAACTAGCACGACGTCAAAAAATGTTTGTTGACATCCCCCACGTCTAAAACTCTCATGGCCTAAGACTTTCCATAGATCAAGGGAACTACCCAAATAATATTTGAAGGGGATATTGGCTTAAAATCTTTTTCAGACTAACATTTACAGCACCACCACAGAGCTACACAATCACAAAAAACTTTAAAAAGAATACAAACATTCTATGCTAAGCGAGCCGGGTGGAATGGTACCAGATCGAGACGAGAGGACAAACCAAAATAATTTATTTTAACACTGATATAAATAACAAAGGACAACAAATTTTACATGTATGAATTTTCCTTCTGGAATGATGCTAAATTCCCTATCCTTACATTTTTGTAAGGATACCACTTAAAACAAATTGCGAGAAATTACAACACACAGTATTTAGACAATTTCATATTTACCCGGAGTTTATTCGAAGTTCTCGTCCATGGCAAACTTCGTTTATCCACAGTATACAGTTTTCTGTTCATAACAGCTTCCACATAGAGCATGTGACCTTGCATAAAATATATAAGTTCATCTCCCATTTGTGGAAAATACGGAGCTTTCTTGGGAAAGGTTTCTGTTAACCATTCTGGTGGACGGAACTCCTCTGGGATTTCATCTGCACCACCACCAATTTCTGAAAGGTTGGGTCTTGGTCCTCTCTGTTGGCAAAACAATCATTTAACTAGATGTAAAGATTCTATGCAAGCAAAAATTATGCATTTTTTATAAAAACATTTATACAAAAAAAAATTAACTATATTACAGAAAAAGTCTACAACAATTCTAGTACAGTAAATGGGTTAAAAAAAAAAAAAACATGAGGTTTTAAGTTAATAAAACAAGGCAATAATATCCAAGAATAATTTTAGAACTTTAGTCTGTTTTCAGAAGGAGTACATGTACTTGTAGCTTGTCGAGCACTATTAAAGACAATGTAATGGTTCTTTGGAAAAAATGCCTCGGGTGCAAGGAAAAAAATATGAGAACACCGGATGACATGCAGTCATGTTGAGGTATGCCAAAGCATCCTACAGTGGAAAAATAACCTAGCATTGACCTATTCCAAAAGTAGGGAAGACACACAAAGCAAAGGACAGGAAAGAGCAGGTAGTGCCAATTACAGCACCTTCACAAGTCGTAGCCACAAACACACTTGCCAGTGGGTGTGTCAACAGATAGGGTGAGGACCACCTGATGACCAGAGGCACCTGCAAGGCTGCAAAGAGCAGTCTCCTAACAGGACAGCTGAAGGCAACGGGGTGTAGGGGGGAGAGAATGAATCTGAGCAGTACCCCCAAAATGCTGACCATTGTTGCCACGCCATAAGATGGCAATATTATTCAAGGAAATAATACTAGATAATAGTTTGTGTGCACAGGACAACCCAACCCACTCCAAAGCCAAGGAAGGAACCCTGCGACCATATTACATCAACAAAAACTCAGAATGGCAAAAACCAAACTGCCCCAGCTCCTCCAGAGCAGGTAGACCCAAACCCAGGAAGACATTTGACACCTGCACCAGAGACGAGAGGAAACCAAAGTAAGTGCAGGTTGCTACTAGCGCTAGAGAACCCTTTGTTGGCAGAGATGCAGAAAGCAGCAAACTGAATTACTAGGAAGGATCAACACCTGCAATACTGGGAATGTAAATGTAATAGAGAACTAATATTTTGGACGACGAAAGACAGCAGAAAGTATGCATGAAAAATAGAAGTAATCTGAAAAAATTTAGGATTATAGAGGCAATAGTAGTCCAGTACTATCAATTTGGATTACCTAGCAGTAATTACTCAATAATTCGAACTGTCAGGTAATCCAACAAGGCTAAGGATAATGGCACTATAGTTAAGAGCTAAACAAAAATGATAAAACTAAATGACTGTTTCACACCTTTCTTTGTGAACGAGGTGTAGTCCATATGCTGCTTTTGTTCTCTTTGCTTTTCTTCTCGCCATCGTCGTCGTCCTCCTCATCATCATCGTCATCATCTTTCGTTGCTTTATGATCATCTTCATTACTGCCTCCTTTTCCTTTCTTTTTCCTTTTTCGAGGACTCTTCTTCTGTTTGTGAGCAGTTCTCTTTGGAGGTTCCAAATTAACCCCCGCTTCAGCAGTCCAGTCTGAGTAGTCTGTGGACTGCTCATCAGAGCTCGACGATTCTTGCAGTTCTTCATTGACAACTTCTGAGCCTGAAGAGCTTCCTGAACTGCTTGACCCACTACCATTTGCTCCATCCTACAACACAAGGTATTTATTAAAAATCAAAGAAACTATACTAAGGCTACAGTACAGTACAGGGTACTGTACTGTATCCTGTATTCAAGTACAGGGCTCAGCCTAGCCCTGCACTTGAATCAATGGTTATGTGATTATCACTCTCCAAGGTGGTGTTCTCTGTGTACCTATTCCACCTTTGCCTTTCAATGGGGCTATTTTGCACATCCTGCCATGCCTCCTGGTCTCTTGTTATTTCCATATGCAGATTTCGAACTTGTCCCCTTAATAGTTTCCACATTTAAATTATTATGTATCTCCCCCGCCTAAACTGTACACTATACAGATTTACAATTTTTAAGCAGGCCCAAAAATTTAGACGTTTTATTAAATGGATTTGGGGAGTAAGACCTTTGCATTTTCTCCAGGTCAGCATTTTCTATAGCTTTGAATGGGACTGGTAGTGTGCAACAATATTCCACCCTAGAAAGCACTAGTGTCTTAAAAAGTATTATCACTGGTATTGCATCTCCATTTGAAATGGTCTTGTTATCCAACCTGTCATTTTCCTGCAGTTGTATTCTTTAAAATTAATATTTGATTATGAATAGTAACTTAATATAGCTTCATTCATGTTTTTCATGATTTTTTTAATTTGGAAGCAACATTAGAAGAAAAACAGCTGAAGCAATGCAGGCGATGAGTCACAATAACGACTTTAGAATGGTCCAGGACGGACCGAAACGTCGTCGTCCCTTCACCTTCTAGTGTAGTGTCTGGCCAACAGCTGAAGCAATGTATTTTTAAAAAAGAAAAAAAAAGGCATCTCGCAAATGCCTCCAGAGGGCATCTCCAAAGGCAACAAAATTCACTCCTCACTCTAAAGAATCAGGATTGGTCCCATGTAGTTTGCCGAATTGAGGTTGCACTCTACATTAATTCACATGTACAGTAAATATAATTGGCCGATTTAGCATTTTAATGCAAACAATATAGCAAATATCAGCCTAAAAATCCTTTGGTCCTATACCAATTAAATTGCCTACCTTCCCGGTATCTACAAGAGGAAAATCCAACGTATACCAACAACCTAGTTTAAATCATCTTTCCCTTTGACGTTAATGCATCACGTGTATAGTACCAGGGGCTTATAATTTACCCTTTTTTTCCTCTCCTCTTCTGAACCCAAATATCTACGCAGATTATGACAGTCTCCCTCATTAGTCACTAACCTCTGAATCTTGATGATCATATGGGCCACTCTCGTTCTCTCTCACTGAACGTGTAGAATACGAGTGAGTCTGCTTCTTTTGCTTCTTGCGCAGTTTCTTCTCTGACTCGTGATGCTGCTGAACTGGTGAGCGCACTGGTTCTGGTTTCTTCTTACTTTCTTCATCATAAAGCTGGAGTTCCATTTCTCCTAAACGTCTCCGTCTATCTAAAGACTGCTTAATATCAGATATGTTCCGTCGTTTAACAATGATACGCCTGTTCCATTTTATATTCGGGTCCCTGTGCCAATTACCAGTTGACTGACGTACACCTTCCACATCGCCAACTCGACGAGCACCAACACGGCCAGCTGTAGAAGAGTAAATCTTGCTGAAAAGGAACCTCTTTGGGAAATTAAGACAATCAGCACTAGATCAAAAACTAAATTTTGAGTCAAATGTAATTTCATGAGATGATTCTATATAGAAAAGTAGTAAAGGAAACAAAGAAATTGAACTGACCAAGTTCAATCTTTCAGTCTTTAATGAAAAACAGAAATGTAAGTACAGTATACCAAGTCTCAGAAGATCAAGTAAAAACAGATACTAAGAATTTTAATTACAGAATCATTCACTTTTACTGAGAAATCATGAACTAGGGCACATTTATTTTCAATTTGTACTAGGAAATATCAATCATGACTTTTCCACATGGCCACAAAAATGAACTTGTACTGTAGGTCTTACTAGCTCTAGGTGATAATGGGTCGTGCAGAGCAGCAACAGCATAAGAGTGGTCTGTGGGCGGTCCACTAGAACTGGCTCGGCGCTCTCCTCTTCTACTGTTACTACTCTCTCGTCTCTCTCGAACTCCACTCGGTCCTGGTTGTTCTCTTGATTCTGATGGTCTTCTGTCATGAGCTATTCTTTGGTCTTGTTCCTGTGCCAGTCTTTGAATCATGTCATCGATGCTTGGTCTCTGACCGGCACTATTTTCGATGGGCTGTGCATTTTGAGCATGTTCAGCATTATCAAATTCTATAAGAGCAACATCAATAACCTCTTGGTCACCTAAACAAAAGAAAAAAAAAAACATCAAAAGATTGCAATATCATGGATAATTAACCCTTAAAGTGCGCATCACGTCATATGACGTGTTGGACGTTGTTCCAGTCAACTGCGCATCACGTCATATGATGTGTTGGAGTACTACGCAAGATTTAAACGGCCCGCGGATACACGGGGTTCACCACACCTTCAACAGGGCTCTTGTAAACAGACGCCACTTTTTAAAAAAATCGTGGGCCAAACTCCCGGGTGTTATTGGCCTCGGTATTGAGTGAGCAACCAAGCCTGACGCACGCAGCATGAGCTAACAGCACTGCTGTTCAGCTTGTGACCACAGCATCGCCTAAAAATGCCAAAATATACTTGTTCATGCTATTATGTAGCGATGATATTACAGAAGACCCCTGACTGTGATAAAACTGACCAGGGTTCTGATAATAGCAGGATTGTGGTGATATTTAGCGCTGTGCACCATGGAGGGAGGAGTAATGCTGTGGGAGGGAGGATGGTGGCGATGTCTTCTGACTGTGTGTGGCCACCTTTTATTGACTGCACTCAGCATACCAGCTTAGTGGTTTGCTATGGTGAACACAAATGTAGATACTTTTATATAACGTGTGTATAGAGAGTATAAACAGCAAGAGAAGGTTTGGAGCCGCCATTTTGGCGAGGGCGGTGGCGTCGTCTGCACGACGCCACCGTGCAGACGACGGTGTTGTTTACTGGTTACCACGATGGTCTTTGGGCACCATACCAGTTTATTTGTACAAGTATGGTGAATAAAACAGGTAGATATTTATATATAATGTGTGTATATAGCGTAATAACACCACACAGTATTGTTGAGGAGAAATATTAGTGCGTCTGGCCTTGAGGGCGGCAGCCTTTAGCTGACTGTGTGAGGTCCTACGTCTTTGTGCCTTTACTCACCATACAAGCTTAGATGTACAGTTATGGTGAACAAAACATGTAGATACTTATATATAACGTCTGTATATAGTGAATTATAGCAAAAAATTATTGTGGGAGGAGAATGTGGGCAAGTCAGATGACTGGAGGGAGGGCGGGAGTGGCTGGCTGGTACACGGCGGTCACTCCTCGTTACTTTTTGACTCATAATAGCTACTTAGTGGTTCGTTATAGTGAACAAAACATGCAGATACTTGTATATAACCTGTGCTTATAGTGTAATAACTGACAAAGTATTTGTTCACTGATTGATGAACATAATTGAATCAACAATATGCACACCATATTTTTGAGTACAGCAATGATTCACTCATTTTATTATATAAATATATCAAACTACACACTATTGAATATTACAGCAAAAAGACTATGAAAAATCAATCAGAGACATTGAAATAATTAGGTAATTATCTCTTTGTGGCAACTCCGGCCTGACAGCTGGTGAGCAACAGACCGCCTGGGACGCATGCCGAGTCAGCGCCTATAATTTGCCAGACTTCCCCACCCTATAGTGGGCAATATATGCCACTTACGAATTTTTTTATTATTTTTCCCGTGATCAGTGAACACAAATTAACAGGTTAGGAAGAATTTTTTTTTTTTTTTCAAAATGACATGCGCCTGTGGGGATGACAGGATATTAAACCCCGAGCATGTTAAGGGTTAAAATACTGTATACAAAGAAATGAAAAGATTTTGGAAGGGATCAAAAGTGAATTCCTGCAGCTAGCCTGACTGAGAAAAAACTGCACATAAGTTGCATTTGCCCTAGGAATCAGCCTACTGAAGACTAAGCCAGAACCTGCCCCCCACCCCCACCCTCCCCTCACAGAGGAGCAGGTAGCAGGGGATTATTTGTAATTACTTTCTCTACCAGAAAAAGAAGTTTCATTACATTTAATGCTTGATTTATGATCATTTAATACATGTGGAGCATTTTAAGGCAGTGTAATGAGGTATTATCAAGATACAATATATACAGTTATATGGGCACTCAAAATTTACAAATTACAAAAGTTATAGGTACCTCCAATAGGGATACATAATAACCAATTACCATTAGCATTTAAAAGAACATTAGGTATGAGTTGATCGTGTCGACACTTCTCTCGTCCCGGTACAAGCCGCTGATATTCCGGTGGATAAGGATCCCCATCCATGTTAACAAGAAATGGAGGCGGCATCAGATGAGGGGCCATTTGTGTTTGCTCATCTAGAACATGGCTATTACCATCACGCATTAAGGGCCGATAATCAGTATGGAAGAATAATTCTTTTGGTATCTGCAACAAAGATCAGAATACTACAAATACCATTTCAAAATATTTCACACCAATTAACTATAAATGACAAAACCAGCTTTAAAAAATTATAAATTATAGAATTAAAATAAATTTGAGACGAGTCATTGCTTCATAATTATTTGCGCTGGGTAAAACCAAATGGTATCCTCATTCCTCTGAAAGAGGTATCTATTAGCATGTTATTACAGTTAGATACTGAATATGTTTCTTGTCGAATTCTTAAATTAGTCATTACATTAATAAATTTTAAGAATTTACCTGCTGGAATTTTTCATTGTGTCCAATTCCAAATAATGCCAAGTGACCATGAGAGTCTGTGGCAGCTATGGTGAAGCCATCTGGAGACCACTTGGCATCAAACAGTGCACCATACCCTTGGCCTTCAATGGTGTTCTTGAAATTCCAGACCAAGGCACCCGTTAGAATGTCCCAGATCATCAACTGACCTGTTGATAAACACTCGTGGAGTCAATAAGCATCACCATTAACCTGTACTCAAAATTATTGAAAACCTTGCAGTAGACAGCTTAATTATCTCCAAATCCCTTTCAACATTATTACCTCTAAATAGCCAGCAGTCAAATTGTAACATGTTAGTCTATGAAGTCAGACAAATACATTTGGCTACTTAATAATGAGGTCAGAATCAAATTGCTGTGGATCCCTTCACACACTGTTGCAAAAACATGAACATGATGCTCTTGTCAAGCTTACAATAGACAAAATTGAAAATAATTGATATCAAATAGAAGCTTAGAATGTGTCATTATATCAGAACACTTGGATGAATTTGACAAAAGCATTAGCATGCAAATAAGACCTACAAGATCAAAGAGCAGGGGTGTCATAGGCACAATCAAAGAACACTGTCTGAACATCAGAGGTCCACAGCTGTTCAACACCCTCCCAATAATCATTAGAAATATTTCCAGAACAAATATTGTTTAAGATACACTTCGACAAGTTCCTGCAAGAAGTGCCAGATCAACTAGGCTGTGGTGGATATGTGGGCCTGCGGGTTACTTCAAGCAACAGCCTGTTGGACCAAGCTCAAGTCATGTAATGACTTGTGGTAAGTAGAATAACTCCCAGAACCCCATCAGGCAGGTACCACAAAAAACTTGTCGAACAAAACACTTGTATGGGCACAAGTAACAAAACCAGACTGTTCACCAGACTGACTAATGTTATAATAGTTCAAATATAACTTTTAGCCAAGAACCTCTGGACACTTGTACCAGAATCTTACCAAGTAAAAATTTTACCATGCAGCTATAGATCTAAACCTGTGTTACATGAAAGCATGAAGGTGAGGTACATATAAAGTGTGTGTTAGTCCACACTCCACATAGCACTTGGAAAGGATATAAAAATATGAAGACTGAGTAAAGGTAAACATTACCTAAACACTTTGACCATCAGCGATAGTGCTCTGACCATGCAGGAAGCGAGGTCACTTCTCTACTGACCAGCCTAAATTTATGAGCTACACTGCATAAAATGGGAAATAATTTGATTGCAACTGATAAAATAAATAAAAAAATTATTTGTATCCAAATTCTTCTAGCAAGTACTCAAAAAATGTGATGAAAGTATTAGCTTTCAAGAATAAAATCAAACAGCAACACTTTGACATTAACATATAATATTCATTATTATCCAATGTTGAAAATTATGTTCATTACCACCAAAATGGCATAGCTCCAAAACAGAATAATCTATTGCAATACATAACAAACACAGTCCAAGCAGTGTTCTGTTACTAGCTATCAATATAAATAAATACAAGGTGTGTGTGCAGATAAATAGTAAAAACTAATATCAAACAACATCCACTGATTAAGACCTGTTCCCTCTGTAATCCTTTTGCATTACTGTATATAGTATTAGTATGGGGTGCACAATAAACTGGCTGCCACTGGTGGCAAGAATCAATCCTTTAACTTAAGACATGCAAATAGAACAAGTTTTTGGTACTTTAAATAGCTATCAAGGAAAATTATTAAGAAATAGCTATTACCATCATGAGCAGCCGTAAGAACAAGTCTGGGTTCGTGAGGATGGGCCTCTATTACATAGGAGTTATCCTCATGACCTCGGAGGATGTGTTTCAGCTCTCCCGTGCAACTATCCCAAACTCTAAGCCACTTGTCATTACTGGCAGTGATGACGTATTCGTCAGATTGGTTCCATCCAACCATTGTTACTTGCAACCGTTTAATCTCTTCAGAAGGTGGACTAATTCTGGAAGAAAATTGCCAAAGTAATAATGCAATTATAAACTTCACTAGTAAACTGCTGTATCTCTAAATGGAATTGTGTTTTTTTGACATTCAGTGAAAGCTACTGATGTTAGAGGATTATACTTTTCTCATCCATGCAGAATTGTGACAATACTTTATTTACTACCTACCCTGGAAGCAAATTACTTGTATCAAGTACAAGACTTTTCCACTGCTGCCGCTCATAATACCAAACAAGTGCAGTGCCATCTCGACTACCAGAAATAAACTTGAGACCATTATGGCACCACTGAATGCTATCCACACGATCCTGGTGTCGTTCCATTTCTATCAGCTTCTCAACCCCATGTTCTCCTCCCAGATGATACACCCTAAAGGCAAGAGAATTTAATTATCAATTGCAAAATATTAAAAAGCAACTAGTTGTGGTTCAAATATGTACACCAACCAAGAAACCTATCCAATCTCTTATGCTAGATACATTACAAGCTTAATATTAATGTCAGGACCACACCTTACCATAAATTAGCATGACATATGGCCTTTTGCAACATCTACCTTTGTACCTTATTTTATTTTATTTATTTATATATACTGTACAAGAGTTCTTACATTCTTGTACAGCCACTAGCACGCATAGTGTTTCAGGCAAGTCCTTAATCCTAATTTTCATACACACACACACAATCTCCAGGAAGCAGCCCATAACAGCTGGCTAACTTCCAGGTACAGTCCTATTTACTGTTAGATGCATCAGGGTGAAAGAAACTCTGCCCATTTGTTTCCACCTCCGCCGGGGATCGAACCCGGACCATAGGCCTACGAATCCCGAGTGCTTTCCACTCGGCCGTGAGGCCCTCAACACGTACATGTTGACGTGTGTACAATATGTACCCGCTTACATACAAAATCGTATCATTTTACCAATGTTTTAACAAAATTTTCAGTACCAAATACTGTATACTCTAATTTTATTTGTTATTGAATATAATTATTGTAACTTTGTGCAAAATATATACTGTAATACATTATAGACAAATATTTCTTCTAACTAGAACTCATCTCAGGCAGGTGTTTTTTGTTGCTATCTTTGATGTGTGCACTCCCAACAGTTTCTCACTTTGCTGCTGCCGTTATCAAGAAGGTTCTGAAATGTGTGCGTTTCTGACAAAACTTATTGCCAGTTGAATTGGATACATGTTTCAAAGATTCTGCCCCACATATGGTTCCTTTCATAACTGTGTATATTAACTATTGAGTTTTTGATGAAACCCTATTTAGATCAATTTGAAGTGATAGCGAGTCTTCTGTGTTTATTTCCCTACCGATTTTTGTATCATCGGCAAATTTGCAAATATTGCTACTGAAACCTAAATCTAAATCATTTATATATATTATAAACAACAGAGGTCCCAGGACAGAGCCTTGAGGCACTCCACATACAACATTTTCCCACTCTGACTTAACCCCATATATACGGTTTCCTTTGGTATAGCCTCTTCATAACTTTTGTTTTTCAGTTCTGGAAGTTATTTTGTAGCTGCATACATGTGTTGATTTGTGGAACCTTTGCTGAATACACATGTTGAGTTAAACAGTCAATCATCACCTTGAATTTAATTGTACCAGTTATTGCTGATGAAGTTTTATTTCATGGTTATATAATACTTACAAAGCAGTTCTTGATGCATTAGCTTGTACAGCTCACTATGCTGATGTTTTCATAGTGTTATCAGACTGTTACAGTTAGTCCTTATCCTAAATTCATGAACAACATCACTCTCCAAGAAGCCCCATAACAGTTAAATAAGCTTTTTTTCCAAGATACATCCTATTTACCTGTAAACAGATGAATCAGATGTAAAGTAAATACTGCATATGAAGAATTTCATTCGCGGAGATCGAACCAATGGCCATAGGCCTCGAATTCACCCAATTCTTTCCATCCTCGGACATCGTGAGGACCCATTCAACACGTACATTGGCTGACAGAATGCTGTACAAATATGTACCCAATTCTAAATACAAAACTATCAATTTAAACCAATGTTTTAACAATTAGTTCTTCAGTACCATTGTTATACTTAATTTTATCTTGTTATTGCAATATAGAATCTATTGTAATCTTTGATGCAAAAATATACTGTAATACATTATAAGACAAATATTTCTATCTAACTAGAACTCATCTCAGGTCAGGTGATTTTTTTTATTGCAAACTATCAATTATGTGTGCACACCCAACAGTAAATTCTCAGCTTTGCTGCTGCCTTGTTATCAATCAAGGTTCTGAAATGTGGCGTTTCTACAAACTTTTTGCCAGTTGAATTGGTTTAATACATTTATCAACCAGACCTTATCTGCCCCACATATGGTTACCTTTCACTAACTGTGTATATTAACTATTGCAGTTTGTGTGGCATTGAAACTGTATTCCTAGTCAACCGAAAATGGCTCTGGCTTCATTTTCAACGAGCCTCACCTTAATTCTCATGGACATGTTGAATCATTCATTCTGAAGCCAAAATCTTATGTCATTTAAATTTTAAATTGAATGAGGCCATGCACATCTTGGATCCATTGTTTCTTTTTCCAGAAGGCCTCAATAGCTTACCCCAATTTGTGCATTTAACCAACTCACCTGACAAAGTGGTCGGCCCCTCCAAGTGCCAAAAAATGTCCACCTTGGCTGAAGGACGCACAAATGAGTTGGGCATTACCAGGTCGAACCCTCTCATTAACTTTTAGTGGCTTCGAACTGAAATTAATATACAAAAAATGAGATGCAGAATAATATAATGTTCTTTTGATTATTCACACACCCATAAAAAAAAAATCTGGGGCATGAAGTAATAAAGCATGAATAAAGTACTTTATTCATAAAGCATGAATAAAATATTTTTTTATTTTAATCAGAATAGTAAAATATCTATTTTGCTTAAACCCATACTCCACCAATGTAATCACTGTCCAGAGACTGAACACACAATTTTAGGAATCAAAACTATTTGGATTCCTACAAAATTACTAACCACTTCCTTTATTAGGCCAAAGTCAAGATTCAGATAAACTGTACTGTACTTTATCAGCATCTCAATTATGCCATCCCGACATTTATTGCTAATCAAATTCTCACATTATATTTGCAACCATCCTAACCTTGGCACCAGAGCGCACGAAAATGACAACACTTACTCAAACTTTACGTCTGCACCTCTGCGAACATAGGTCCAAAAGGCTACACAACCATCACCACCTGTTGAGACTAGAACTCCTTCACTATCAGGAGCAGGACAAAACTGCAAGGCTGTAATCATCCCCGTGTGGCTGCTTAAAACTGCAATCTGATATATATATCACAGTTTAATATACTGTACTATTTTAAACTTGCTATAGTTTAAGTTACATTAAATTATATTTAAATACTGTACAGTAATCGCTGAACTGTAATGTTTTAATGATTACATGGTATAAAAAAAAAATGCAGTTACTCTGAATGGGATATACTGCTTGGAATGTCTATGCTGTATGTTTATGAATACAGTAGTGTATAACCAAACTATATACAGTATATTCTTCTAAAATTACATGAACAAGGCATGCACTACTGCAAGTAAATTAAATTTAAAAATAAGCTTATTTTTACCAAGATTTTTAAAATCAACTTTATACCATGAAACAATAATGAATAAATGCTACAATGTAAAGTACTGTATATGCAAAGAATTTCATTTTGCTGGAGATAACCAAATTTCAACCCAATTTCACCCAATTTCTTTCTCCATCCTGGACTAGTCTTTTGTGTAGGACATTATCAAACACAGACATATGGGGCCTGAAACAGAAGTGCTGCAACAAAATGTATAATTCTAAATACAGTATGACTTCAATTAAAAAAAATTTATAACACTTCAGTTCTTGCAGTTAGGCCCTTTCTTATTAGATCTTTGGCATCTCAAAGGTTAGACAAAAGAATCACCTAATAATTTTTAAATTACAAAAAAAACTGTACCTTTAAATCTAAATGTTTAAAGTGTTCATTGTAATCTCACCAAATATTTGGCTAGTCACATAAAACAAAGACACATCTAAATGTTCAGGACTTACTGGTGCAAGAGTTTGCAAATTCCACACTCGGATAATCTTATCACAGGAGCCCGCTGCAATGAGTGTATTTTCACTGTCAATTGCTAGGTCAGATATCTCGGCAGATGCCCCCCTCAAGGTGGCCAGTAACCGTCCATCAAGAATACTCCAAATTTTAACAAGCGTATCATCTGCACCAGTGATGATGTATCTGAATAAAACAGTAATTATAAAGTAGTGTAAATTTCTATATAGAACTTTATTTAAAATTTCATATGAAATGCATATCAACAAATCTATCACACATGTTATTTATAATCCTCCAAATATACTATACCACCACCTTTCACCTTTCTTCTTGAAAGAAAAATAACTTAGGATAACTTATCTAACATGGCTGGTATTTAAAAGTACAATCAATCACCGTGAGTATAAATACCAATGCATCTTCTCCAGCTATAGAAACCTCACATGTAGCATTGATTGTATTGACTCCGTTGAATTATGCAATGTGGCAATCACTTAATAGCAATTCACAAAGGTGGAAAATACTGAAGCAACATATGGTATTACCCAAACCTTCCAATCTTACTGCACAATTTAATTCTGTCTAGAAATACATTGTTAAAATCTGAATTTGTTCTAATGTCATATTTGTGGGAAAAATTACAATAATCAACCAAACTAATCTGTTGATTGATACACAAAGCCACACTTAATGTTGATAGGGAATACATTGAAAGTGTTATTGCCGTCATTCAGCAGGCCCATGGTCAACGTGAAGTAATCCTGGCCAAGTCCAAACCAGTAGCTCGATCAATATGGGCACTTCACCAGAGTTTATCTCCAATCGAAAGATTCATAATGAGCCTGATAATAATTATATAATCAATCTCTTCTTTGTCATTGTTAATTCAATTATTTCTGGTCTTTAGAAGACTGTTTGAAACACTAATTTGTAACCCGTTTAGTTTTCTCTGGCAATTTAATAGCCTGTGCAGTGAATGTGTGTGTGCATCAGCAAAACTTTTCAAAGCACATAAAAATATAAACATATCTGTGAGAAGAGACTAAGTCCACAAAGGTCAGCACAGCCTGAAAGAGTCTTACTCCTGAGGCTGATATGTGCAAGTATGCTTCAGGAAAAAATATAGTTCAAGACAATAAGCAATGAGTGCCGAAACCAAGTGAACTTTCGAAAACACGTGAATGTGAATCACCGAGAGAATTAAAGCCTGAAAAGACAGGAGGGACTATGGCAAGATTCCAATGTCATAACTAGAGGGTAGAACACTCCACTCTTGATCAAGTCAATTAACTACTACAGCAATGGCAAAGTGCTGAATCATAAAAAAGAACAAATGAATAACCCTTCCACTATGGACTAGTGATACCTGCTTGATGGGGTTCTGGGAGTTGTTCTACTCCCCAAGTCCGGCCCGAGGCCAGGCTTGACTTGTGAGAGTTTCGTCCAACCGGCTGTTGCTTGGAGCGACCCGCAGGCCCACATACCCACCACAGCCCGGTTGGTCCAGCACTCCTTGAAGAAAACAATCTAGTTTTCTCTTGAAGATGTCCACGGTTGTTCAGGCAATATTTCTGATGCTCGCTGGTAGGACATTGAACAACCACGGACCTCTGATGCTTATACAATGTTCTCCAATTGTGCTTATGGCACCTCTGCTCTTCACTGGTTCTATACTGTGCAGATTTGGGACCTGTCCCTCCAGTATTTTCCATGTGTATATTATTTGGTATCTCTCTCGTCTCCTTTCTAGTGAGTACATTTGGAAAGCTTTGAGATGATCCCAATAATTTAGGTGCTTTATTTCGTCTATGCGTGCCGTATATGTTCTCTGTATTCCCTCTATTTCAGCAATTTCTCCCGCTCTGAAGGGGGAAGTGAGTACTGAGCAGTACTCAAGACGGGACAACACAAGTGATTTGAAGAGTACAACCATTGTGATGGGATCTCTGGACTTGAAGGTTCAATCCTTGAAGGTTAATTCTTGAAGTGGAAGGATTAACCTCCACAGCTGGAGCAGGAGGAGGTTAACACTCAGTGGTTGCTGATAATTAGCCTCCACAGCTGGAGCTGTGGAGGCTAATTATCAGCAAACTGTGCATCCCAGCTAGGCCATATCAGAGTGCCATGTAAAACTCCCACAGGTACACGGGGATGTCTGCTTCCTCAGGCCGTCAGTCAACAAATGCCAGCTTGGAAAACAAAAATCAAGGACACCCCCCTCTCCTGGGTGTGAGGGCCTCGTTACTAAAGCAACCACAGGTACCACATCCTGCAGCAGCTCACAGCACTGCCTTGCAGCTTGTGCCCCCACATCATCACTTGATATGGACAAAATAGATACAGTAACATTATTTTGCAACAATAGTGTCATAGAAGATCCTGACACTAGTACATAAACACTATGTACAAGGTTCAGATATCAGTGAACGCAATGCCGGTCATGATGTTCACAGCTGGAGGCAGACATCCACAGCACAGCCGTGGTTTCTTTCATCTACTCATCATGAAACATTCCTTTAGAACATAAACTTGCAGAAACTTATCCATATTCATGATTTAGCAACAGGAATCTGATGATAATAGCAGTGTTGTTGCTACAGTTAATGACTCGAGTAGTATATTAAGAAAAATTTTGCTGCATCAGGGGATGTCATCTGCTAGTAGCATGTGGTGCTATGCTGTGCTTGAATTTCATTACCACACCACCAGAAGTGCTTATTGGTTTATTATGGTGCATAAAAATGCACAGTAGATAGATATATGACAAATATATGCTCCGTGCTACAGGTAACCGATATGGTTCCCAAGCCATCCTGGTCGATTTCCCCAGTTTTTCAGGATGAGTGCTCAGTTATGCTTTGAGGATGCTCAATTTTGATCAGGCTTGTTAAGGAATAACACTGACCCACTTTGGGAGTTCAAGGCCCATTGGTGTAGTTCCACAGTACTCCATTATAATTCTTGGTTATCGGCTGTGTATCCAGGTCTGCCAGTGGTGTCCAACTTGTTAGTTGGTTCAGGTGAGCCACATGTTTTGGTTACAATCCTCGATGGTCTCGGTGGCAGTGCCTTTCCTCTTGGCATGGGTTTCGTTTTCTTTTCTAAGAAGCTATGATCACACTCCAGCTATCCCTGTGGTGGATCCTTTGTGGTCCTCTCCTGGGTCATGGTTCAAGGTTTCATTTCCTTGCTTTTTGCCACTTTCTGGCTCTCCCTAGTGGTTTGTCAGTTTGTTTTAATTTATTCTGCCCTTTCATCCTCAAGGGGCTAACAAAGGAACCATTCATGCACCACCACACAAGTCCTTAAGTTTCAAGTCAATACGTGCAAGTATTATCCAATGTAATGCACGATACTGTAATTGAATTAAATAAAAATTAAACAATAATTATTCTCACAAAACCTTAATATATTCCTACTAGGAACACCCAATAATAATAATCATACAACATGGTTTAACATCAATTAACCTATTTAAAATTCAACTAATGTTGCAGTAATATAAATAAAAAAACATTAATAAAAAAAATTCCTTCCAAATAATAAGACAATACATAACCCTGAAAAAATCTACATACTTTCCAGACCGGTCGAACAACATGCAGTAGACAGCAGACAAGTGTCCAACGGAACGCAGAAACAATTGCATACGACTATAGAATTTGTTGGTAACCACATGCTTGCGGTTGAAGTTGCCCATGAGCTCTCTTCCGAGTATAGCCTGGGTGAGGCATGGAGGTCCCCGCACTTGTACAGGTTCCAGTGGAAGACAGCCATGATGACGGACAGCCACACTTAACAAAGTTTTGTACTGTTTCCATAGGTCTGCAACATGAAATAAAGCTTAGTGATTACCTTTTAATTGATGTATAAATAATAGTGCTAAAACATAGGAAAAACATTTTTCATGAGCTGCAAGTAGTTAGAATTCCCTTATAATATTTAAGATTAAACAAAGTGCCTGACTAGTTTAACATAACTATATGGATAAAATGCTGAATAGGTACAAGAGGCAAACTTAAGTAGCCATTTAAAAAGTAATTTTAATGAGAAACATTACGAGTACTGTACATAGGTGATTTTGAATAAGTATCCCTGGTCCCATATACAAGTACAGCCAATATTACAAAATGTTGTAGCATTCTAAATATAAATGTTGTTTTTACTTCTCTTCCTTACTGAGAATGGATTTCCTTCTACTCCATCTCTTCCTTTGGGTCAACACTTGAATCATGCCACAATGTGAAGAATACAAAACGTACATTGCTTGAATAATTATTTAGGCTTTCCACCCATATTAGCAACTGATTAATACCAAATTTGGTTGACACAGAACAGTACCAAGAAATAACTTCAGCCCAGAATGTTACTTCATCTAAAATGTCTTACACACATTTTAAAACTTTGTCTTGACAGTCTACTTTCCAAGTAATTAAAATATATAAATACTTTTTTTGTGTAGCTGATCAACTAGCTCATCTCTCGCTCAGAACCTCAGTGGTAATGTAAATCGAGGGGGAGATACAAACACCCAAGGTTTTGGCTGACCATTTTGAGGAAGTTTTCTGTTCCCCTTGCATCCCCCGCGGATTCCGTCGGTTGGGGCACCCGACAAGGTGCTGGCCTAGCTCGGGACTTAGATAATCCATTTACATCTGGTGAACTTGAAAGGAAGCCCTGTCACGCTTTAGAACGTACAATTTGGAGGGCACCCTGAGCCATGCAGTCTCATCATCTCCTCTTCTATAAGGCCTGCTGGTCCTTGGGTATTTTCCCTGACCCGTGGAAATGCGGCATTTTTCTCCCTTTTCCCAAGCCTAGAAGGGATGAATCGGGCAAGAGTTCACATCGACCCATCAGTCTCCTTTCATGTTTCAGGAAATCGATGAATAGCCTAGTATACCTCCATCACATTCAGCTGTCCTTCAGGGCTTGGCTCGCCTAGGGCTCTCGGATTCCATGTTGGGGTGGTTTCTGAGCTATATACAGGGCCGCTCATTCAGAGAGGCAGTGGGTGGTATCATCTTGTCCTGCCCAGTCTCCCCATGGTGTTCCTTTTGGAGCAATCCTTAGCCCGGTCCTATTATCAATTCTTCTTTTCGATCTCCCGGTCTTCCCTGGTGCCCAGGTTTTAGGTTACACAGATGACATAGCCCTTGTGGCAGATGGTGCTACTCTCATGGAGGCCCAGCATTCCCTGCAGGAGGCAGCGAGTGTGTTCTATGCAAGTGTGAAGGGGAAGGGAGGGGCCTCTCAATCAACCCAGAAATCTTGCATCATGTGCTTCACCTGGACCCGTTTCCCGGCTCAGCTAGTGGTGACCGTTGGGAGTCGTCCTTTCCGTCATGATGGACCACAGGTGGCTGGAAGTGGTTCTTTATGGCCCTCGGCTGACATGGAGGTGTCATGTGGCTTTCTACAGGCCTCCTTCGGATAACTGAGCTCATACAGTACTTAAAACAATGGAGATCACACAATTTCACAAAGGAGGTAGTAAAGCAGATGCAAAAAATAATAGACCAATAGCTCTAACATCACCCTCATAAAAATCTTTGAAAGAGTCCTTAGAAGTTAGATCACAAAACACATGAAATCAGTGTCAACATAACCCTGGGTAAAATGAGTTCAGAACAGAGCACTCCTGCTTCTCACAATTGTTAGACTACTATGACATGGCTTTACACACCACGAAACACAAACAAAATGCTGATGTAATAAACACAAATTTTGAAAAAGGCTTTCGACAAATATGATTATGGTGTTAATGCACACAAAATGCGCACAAAAGGAATTACTGGCAAAGTAGGGAGATGTATCTTTAACTTCCTAACAAACAGAACCCAGAGTGTAATTGTCAACAAAGTAAACTGAATCGTTCACCATGAAAAGTTCAATCTTCAAGGTACTATACTTGCTCTAGTACTTTTCCTCGTCCTCATATCAGACAGACAAGGATACAAACTATAGTACTGTATCATCCTTTGCAGATGACACTAGAATTTTTCAAGAGTAGATAATAGACACAGCAAACCTCCAAACCGATGTTAACATCGGATTGGACCTACACTCGGTAATCCTTCACATAGATGGTGTAACAGCACATTACTGTCTACACCAAAACCTTTTAATAAATAAATAAAAAATAAACAAAAATAAAAATAAATAAAACAAAAAATAAATAAAGAAAGGAGTAAAGAGCTGCTACTCGAGGGCTTTGGAAAGGTCACAGGTAGTTTGCAAAAATTAAGAAGTGTTTTCAAGACCGATACTAATTTTATACAAGCCCTGTTCACAATCAAGGTGGATGCTTGACTGTTCCACGAATGTTACAGGGATGGATGGAGTCTCTCTCCTAGGGCACCTACGCTTCATGCTTTCATCTGCTAATTGTTCTCACAGATCAGGGTTAATGGTGACTTCCCCTCAATTTATAGTTTTCTGAGGGTACAGTAAAGGATTCAAAGTTAAGCTTTCTTCTCCGGGGTTCAAATTTACCTTCAATGTGGCAGTCTAAGACCGATTTTAACAGCTCTTTATCAGGTCCGTTGAAAGGGTCTCACTAGAAAGTTTGATGTAGCCATTTTGTTAGGAAGTGCAGTACTATACTGCCCTTGTAGAGGTTGGACAACTTCACGAGGAGTCAAGCTTTGGTCAAGACCCCGTAACTGTGGTAGCTTGATATAGAACAGTGCCTATTTGGTGTCGAAGATCTGGGTGGATTTCTTCATTGTTGAAGCAATGGTGGATTTTCTTCATTGTGTGAGGTGCTGAAAGTTAAAGTTTGGTTGCTGTGATTGCCTCAAACTCTTCAATGTGATTAACAAAAAATACTGAGGAATGTCATAAAATCTCAGACTGGGTCCCAATGGAGCTGGTTTTCCTCTGCAGCAGTATATAGAGGCATTCTCAAGATATCACAAACTACTAGCTTTTTCATAAAACCGTAAGGCATCCTTCCCTATCGTATATACTGTACCTAATAGAGACGAGTTCAATCAATGCTTCTAAACCTGCTTACTAATCTAGTATTGTTAAGTATGTGTATGCATAGTATTTGGGGCAACATAGAACATTAAAATATCTATTTTAGTTTGGAAAGAATAAATTACATTACAGTACAGTATTTCTTTACAAAACTACAATTATTGCTGGTAGTCAATATATTGTACACTTACCACACTCTGTACGTAAAAGTGATTGTAATCCAGTACCGAGAAGTGTGGACGCGGCAGGACAAGGAATTTTTACCAGCTGGTTGATGGTTGGCCCCAAGCGGGCCACTATCCGGAGCAAATGATCATTCCTGATGTGTTCATTTTGCTGATCCTGTCACAAAGTAAATAATAGGATCATTTTGTATTTTGGGCAATCAACTTGACCAATGTTGCTTCAAATAGATGGCAATCAGATTAAGCAATAATTATTCAATGGAAAATTACAGAAAATTTTAATTTTCCTTCATTAAATCCAAATTCATTTTTTGAAGCAGATATTTTTTCAGACCTATAATATGCAAAAGCTCTTAACTTGGATAAAGCAAACATATTTAAGTTATCCAAATTAAATTTTTAATTAACAGGCTTTAATCAAAGAAAAAATCTACATTTAAGGTCTACAATCAAAGCATAATTTTTAAACTGTATTTTGGAAAGTACAGAAAGAGAAGTTTATTTCAAAGCCATGCCCTACAAGAGTCAACAATTGCTTCAATATATAGTTCTGTAATGCAATATAGTACAGTACTACATTCCAAAATGCTACTGGTTAACAACAAAATAATGGTGCCCAATTGTCTTTCCCTGCCCAGGATTCAAACCCAGGTTTTCTCACTTGCGAGGTAAGGGGGGAAAGAGGGTCATGTACCAAGAACTATATCATAGTGTTTTGGTAACTACAACATTTTTTAATTTAATCCTTTACAGTACCTTACTTTAATTAATATTTCTTGAGACACTGATTAAATGGAACCCCATTTTCCAGATTTTCAAGTTAACTAGAACCAAAAAAATCTGGTTCTTCACTTCAGCTTATTGATATCAATTAATTCAGTATTGTACAGTATTCACGTAACCAGGATTGGTAAAAAAAAAAAAAAAACGTTTTTTCTTAAAACAACCCACTTGGGTTGGGGTAGGTTGGGTTTTTTATCTATTTAATCAATAGATAAAAATTTAATTGAAATTTAAACTAACTAGTTTGCCATATTAAAATTTTTTATTTAAGCCAAGCAGTGTTTTTTTTAAACCAAGTACAGTAAACCCAGCCCAGGCAGGTAAATGGGTAGCTACCACAAAAACCCCAAATGTAACTACTGAGTAATATTCAGGCCTATGAACTACAAGTCCATAGGCCTGAAAGTGGTGGCCACATGTGCTTTCATCCACTCTGTCTAGGCCACATGCTTCCCTTGTTCATGAACACCACCTTGGAGATTGTTCTTATCCTCGTGGATTTTGTTATTCTTCCAAGCTTGCTTAGCTGATGTTGAGGAGGCTAAGAATTAGAGAGAGAACTTGAGAGTGGTGCTGGTGTAGCGTGACTGCCATCAGTTTAACAAGGGGGGACCATCAAAGACACAAGTTACTAAATTCAGTGTCACTAGGGGCAGCCTTGCTCAGTGTTTTAAAACAGGAAATATGTACAGTATTGTCTTTTAAGTTAGCTATGCATATATACTTGGATGCCTTAAGGCAGTATGTGGCATGTGGTGGTGGTGGCAATGGTGGTGGCATGTGATGGTAGTTCTGGCATCTGGTGATGGTGAAGCTATGTGGGGGGGGGGGGGGCACGTGGTGGTGATGGTGAAGCTATGTGGGGGGGGGGGCATGTGGTGGTGATGGTGAAGCTATGTGGGGGGGGGCACGTGGTGATGGTGAAGCTATGTGGGGGGGGCACGTGGTGGTGATGGTGAAGCTATGTGGGGGGGGGGCACGTGGTGGTGATGGTGAAGCTATGTGGGGGGGGCACGTGGTGGTGATGGTGAAGCTATGTGGGGGGGGCACATGGTGGTGATGGTGAAGCTATGTGGGGGGGGCACGTGGTGGTGATGGTGAAGCTATGTGGGGGGGCACGTGGTGGTGATGGTGAAGCTATGTGGGGGGGGCATGTGGTGGTGATGGTGAAGCTATGTGGGGGGGGGCATGTGGTGATGATGGTGAAGCTATGTGGGGGGGGCACGTGGTGGTGATGGTGAAGCTATGTGGGGGGGGCATGTGGTGGTGATGGTGAAGCTATGTGGGGGGGGCACGTGGTGGTGATGGTGAAGCTATGTGGGGGGGCACGTGATGGTGATGGTGAAGCTATGTGGGGGGGGCACGTGGTGGTGATGGTGAAGCTATGTGGGGGGGGCACGTGGTGGTGATGGTGAAGCTATGTGGGGGGGGCACGTGGTGGTGATGGTGAAGCTATGTGGGGGGGGCACGTGGTGGTGGTGGTGAAGCTATGTGGGGGGGCACGTGGTGGTGATGGTGAAGCTATGTGGGGGGGGGGCACGTGATGGTGAAGCTATGTGGGGGGGGTATGTGGTGGTGATGGTGAAGCTATGTATGGGGGGGGGGCACGTGGTGGTGATGGTGAAGCTATGTGGGGGGGGGGCACGTGGTGGTGATGGTGAAGCTATGTGGGGGGGGGCACGTGATGGTGAAGCTATGTGGGGGGGGCACGTGATGGTGAAGCTATGTGGGGGGGGCACGTGGTGATGGTGAAGCTATGTGGGGGGGGCACGTGGTGATGGTGAAGCTATGTGGGGGGGGCACGTGGTGATGGTGAAGCTATGTGGGGGGGCACGTGGTGGTGATGGTGAAGCTATGTGGGGGGGGGCACGTGGTGGTGATGGTGAAGCTATGTGGGGGGGGCACATGATGGTGATGGTGAAGCTATGTGGGGGGGCACGTGATGGTGAAGCTGTGGGGGGGGGCACGTGGTGGTGATGGTGAAGCTATGTGGGGGGGGCACATGGTGGTGATGGTGAAGCTATGTGGGGGGGGCACGTGGTGGTGATGGTGAAGCTATGTGGGGGGGGGCACGTGGTGGTGATGGTGAAGCTATGTGGGGGGGGCATGTGGTGGTGATGGTGAAGCTATGTGGGGGGGGCATGTGGTGATGATGGTGAAGCTATGTGGGGGGGCACGTGATGGTGAAGCTATGTGGGGGGGCATGTGGTGGTGATGGTGAAGCTATGTGGGGGGGGCACGTGGTGGTGATGGTGAAGCTATGTGGGGGGCACGTGATGGTGATGGTGAAGCTATGTGGGGGGGGCACGTGGTGGTGATGGTGAAGCTATGTGGGGGGGGCACGTGATGGTGAAGCTATGTGGGGGGGGCACGTGGTGGTGATGGTGAAGCTATGTGGGGGGGGGGCACGTGGTGGTGGTGGTGAAGCTATGTGGGGGGGCACGTGGTGGTGATGGTGAAGCTATGTGGGGGGGGCACGTGATGGTGAAGCTATGTGGGGGGGTATGTGGTGGTGATGGTGAAGCTATGTGGGGGGGGCACGTGGTGGTGATGGTGAAGCTATGTGGGGGGGGGGCACGTGGTGGTGATGGTGAAGCTATGTGGGGGGGGGCACGTGATGGTGAAGCTATGTGGGGGGGGCACGTGATGGTGAAGCTATGTGGGGGGGGCACGTGGTGATGGTGAAGCTATGTGGGGGGGGCACGTGGTGATGGTGAAGCTATGTGGGGGGGGCACGTGGTGATGGTGAAGCTATGTGGGGGGGCACGTGGTGGTGATGGTGAAGCTATGTGGGGGGGGGCACGTGGTGGTGATGGTGAAGCTATGTGGGGGGGGCACATGATGGTGATGGTGAAGCTATGTGGGGGGGGCACGTGATGGTGAAGCTGTGGGGGGGGGGCACGTGGTGGTGATGGTGAAGCTATGTGTGGGGGGGCACGTGGTGGTGATGGTGAAGCTATGTGGGGGGGGCATGTGATGGTGAAGCTATGTGGGGGGCACGTGGTGGTGATGGTGAAGCTATGTGGGGGGGGGCACGTGGTGGTGATGGTGAAGCTATGTGGGGGGGCACGTGGTGGTGATGGTGAAGCTATGTGGGGGGGGGGGGCACGTGGTGATGGTGAAGCTATGTGGGGGGCACGTGGTGGTGATGGTGAAGCTATGTGGGGGGGGGCACGTGGTGGTGATGGTGAAGCTATGTGGGGGGGCACGTGGTGGTGATGGTGAAGCTATGTGGGGGGGCACGTGGTGATGGTGAAGCTATGTGGGGGGGGCACGTGGTGGTGATGGTGAAGCTATGTGGGGGGGGGCACGTGGTGGTGATGGTGAAGCTATGTGGAGGAATGTGGTGGTGATGGTGAAGCTATGTAGAGGAATGTGGTGGTGATGGTGAAGCTATGTGGAGGAATGTGGTGGTGATGGTGAAGCTATGTGGAGGAATGTGGTGGTGATGGTGAAGCTATGTGGAGGAATGTGGTGGTGATGGTGAAGCTATGTGGAGGAATGTGGTGGTGATGGTGAAGCTATGTGGAGGAATGTGGTGGTGATGGTGAAGCTATGTGGAGGAATGTGGTGGTGATGGTGAAGCTATGTGGAGGAATGTGGTGGTGATGGTGAAGCTATGTGGAGGAATGTGGTGGTGATGGTGAAGCTATGTGGAGGAATGTGGTGGTGATGGTGAAGCTATGTGGAGGAATGTGGTGGTGACGGTGAAGCTATGTGGAGGAATGTGGTGGTGATGGTGAAGCTATGTGGAGGAATGTGGTGGTGACGGTGAAGCTATGTGGAGGCATATGGTGATGGTTAAAGCATTTAGTGCTAGTGATGGCGAATGTATTATGTACTTTTTAACATGTAAAACACTGTGTGTACCGTTGAGGACATGCGGCGGTGTTGAGCGAGTGGCACCGTTGGTGTCATTATCAGACGAAGGCACTTTTTATTATTATTATTTTCTACCACAGACGTGGCCACACATTTACGATGCTAACCAGCATAAACGAAGGCACTGTACTAAGCCCGGAAGACAAGCACTAAGTATTGTTAGTACAACGCTGCCAGCATTATATGGACGAGCTTAAATCTACTGGATTAGCGTCTATTGTTGACTTTAGTTCCCCCCCCCCCCTAGTCGTTTGACTGGACGGTTAGAGCGACAGACTCGCTTCATGCAGGTCGGCGTTCAATCCCCGACCGTCCGCAAGTGGTTGGGCACCATTCCTTCCCCCCGTCCCATCCCAATTCTTTATCCTGACCCCTTCCTTTCCTTAGTCCCTTAGTCGTGGTCAGGAAGCTGGGGTAGGCTTATTGAGGTCCCTCTCTAGCCTACCAGGCCAACTACTGCCCTGTACCAGGATGCAACCCACAACAGTTGGC